TATGGGGAGTGTGGGCGGGGCCTGTAGGGTGTGGGCGGGGCCTGTGGGCGGGTATGGCACGTAGGAGTGTGGGCAAGGGCCCGTAGGCATGTGGCCGTGTGGGAGAGGGTATGGCACGTAGGAGTGTGGGCAAGGGCCTGTAGGCATGTGCCGTGTGGAGAGGGCCTATGGGAGTGTGGGCGGGGCCTGTAGGTGTGGCGGGGTGTGGGCGGGTATGGCACGTAGGAGTGTGGGCAAGGGCCCGTAGGCATGTGGCCGTGTGGGAGAGGGCCTATGGGGAGTGTGGGCGGGGCCTGTAGCGGTGTGGGCGGGGCCTGTGGGCGTGGTATGGCACGTAGGAGTGTGGGCAAGGGCCCGTAGGCATGTGGCCGTGTGGGAGAGGGCCTATGGGGAGTGTAGGCGGGGCCTGTAGGGGTGTGGGCGGGGCCTGTGGGCGGGGCCTGTGGGCGGGGTATGGCACGTAGGAGTGTGGGCAAGGGCCCGTAGGCATGTGGCCGTGTGGGCGGGGCCCGCAGCGGTGTGGGGCGGGGTCTGGCGAGCCCGCGGAGGTGGGGGACCGGCCTGGGCAGGCGGGCGATGGCGCGGGGACTCAGCGCGCTCCTCCGCCCGCAGGGGACGTGTTCTTCGCCACGCGCCAGGAGCAGTTCACCTTCCTGGAAGCGCGGGCGTTCTGCGAGTCCCACAACGCCACCCTGGCCTCCACGGGCCAGCTCTACGCCGCCTGGAGCCGCGGCCTGGACAAGTGCTACGCCGGCTGGCTGGCGGATGGCAGCCTCCGCTACCCCATCGTCACCCCTCGGCCGGCCTGCGGCGGCGACAAGCCAGGCGTGCGAACCGTCTACCTGTACCCCAACCAGACGGGCCTCCCGGACCCGCTCTCCCGGCACCACGCCTTCTGCTTCCGAGGTACGAGCTCAGATCCTCCAGCTCCCCCGTGCCAGCAGAGTCCCCGCGCCCCCGCCTGGCCCCCGGCACCCTAACCCAGCGGAACGAGGAGGAAGGCTGCTGGGGCTTTAGGCTCTGACCCCCAAGGCAAGGTCATCCTTTTAAGTTCCCTGCAGAAGGTAGAGGGAGGTGAGTGAGGAACTGGGGCTCTAAAGTCAGCCAGACCTGAATCTGAATTATGGCTCTGCTACTTAAAGCCATGTGACCCTGGGCAAGTGACTTAACCTCTCTGGCCCTCTGCTTCCTCTATAAATGGTGACAAAATAGAGCCCGCTTCAAAGAGAGTTACATACAGATATTAGCTGGATAATCGCAAGTGCAGCACTCACCATACGTACATATACACACATATGGCTGTCCTTGGGCCCTGTGTCTGTTTCCCCAGCACTCAACGTTTCTAATTAATCCATGCAATGGACATAACTGTATTGCCTTATCAGCCATCTCTACCAGATAGACTTCCGAGGGTGATGTCATCAAGCAACGCAGTGGGCGTGGCCAAGGCGTTGCTGGGCTCTGATTGGATGAGTTCTCACAGCATCCCTAGGGTCTAGATGCACTGACCAAGATTGTAGACTGTAGAATAGCTTGGGCCATTATTTCCGTGTTACACATCAAAGCTGAGTGTCTTTGCAACTTTCTGTGAATCTATAATTATTTCCAAATAAAGTTTAAAAGAAAACTTGAGGGCCCCCAAGTTTCCCAGACTTCCAGGGTCACCTTTTAAAACCCCAAAGTTCAGCCCCACTGGGTCAGACCAATTCCCTCCCAGACGTGATGGTGAAGCCCTTGTCCCAGACCCTGTCACTGCTGTGGGCAACAGAAGCCAAGCCAGGAAGCCTTCCAGTAAATTCCCAGCCATAAACCCCTCACCACCCACCCTGAACCTCGATGGACTCAGCTGTTTTATTATCCTACAGAGAAGTTCCATTCCCTTCTCAACCTTCCCCGATCCACTATTTCCTGCCAAAACCTGAACAATTACCCTCCGGTCCATTAATCCTGCCTTCGCCACAAATGCCAGGATGGCTGCACAGAATTTAATTATCGCCCTGCTGTTTTGGGTCCTAACACACTTGGAACCTCTGTCCCCAAGATAGGCAGTGTCCTGCAGTATTGAGGCATGGAGGTGGTGCGGGGTGCTTGACTTCAGAGATTAGCTCTGCTTCTCCTACACCAGGGACCCTGGACAGCTCATATAACTGCCTCAGTTTTGCATCTGCAAGATGGAAATAGAATCTATCTCATAAGGCCATTGTGAGATAGAAACAAGTTTAGAAGAGCCAGCCATGGTGGTTCACACCTATCTGCAATCCCAGTTAGTCGGGAGGCGAAGACTGGAAGAACTGTGATTTGAGGCTAGCCTAGGCAAAAGGCAATCAAGACCCTATCTCAAGCAACAAGCAGATATGGTGGTATGCATTGTAATGCCAGCTACAAGGGAGGCATAGGTAGGAGGATAGTGATCTGAGGCCAGCTCTAGGTAAAATGATAAGACCCTATCTGAAAAATAATTAAAGCAAGAAAGAAGTTGCTGGAGTTGGGGTAGTTCAAGTGGTAGAGCGCCTGCCTAGCAAGAGTGAGGCCCTGAGTTCAAAACTCCAGGACTTTCAAAGAAAGAAGGGAAGGAAGGAGGGAGGGAGGGAGGGAAGGAAGGAAGGAAGGAAATAAATGAGTTTTTACCCATAAAATCTTCAGGGCAAGGACGAGCAGGTTCTGTAGTTCTGCAGGAGATACACCCTGACCTGAACTGCTGACAGTGTTCAGAGGAAGTTGTACAGTCAGTACAGATGGCTCTCGTGCACTGAGCAGCCCAAGAGCTATCTTGCTGAACTGCAGGTGGGGTGTGGGAGGTCCAGTAGGGCCAGGCCCACCTCAGAGTCCCCTTGTTCCTCCAGCAGAGCTGGCCTGGGATGGGTCCCTGGCAAGGCAGGGAACTCACTGCCCCCATCTCCTTCAGGTGTACCAGTGGCGCCCTCTCCGGGAGAAGAGGAAGGCAGCACGCCCACTCCACCCTCTGGAGTGGAGGACTGGATTGTCACACAAGTGAGGCCCGATGTGGCTGCTGTCCCCGTGGAGGAGACGACCGCGGTCCCAGACTTCACCATTGAGCCAGAAAACCAGACAGAATGGGAACCAGCCTACACATCCCCGCTTCCAGGTGGATATGGTGGGACTCTGGTCACATCCTGGAGTCTCACACCCACCTGCTTTGGGTGGGGGTTGTCCTTGGGCCCTGTGTCTGTTTCCCCAGCACTGACACTGGCTGGGTGTCTGCTGGCCTCTACGACCTACCCCAGAGTGACACAGAAGACTTGTTCATAAAACACCCACATCCAGACACACATTCACTATTTTTCCTTTATTGATCTGGCAGCCTCCCCCTCAAAACTCCAGCCCTGGGCCAATCAGTGGGCACCCCACCCTCACCCTTTTAGTCTGACTTTGGAGGCTTCCCAAAAGAGAGGAAAGAGGCAGGGAGAGAGCAGTGATTGGAAGTCTGTCTCCTCACCTTGGTTTTTCCATGACCCTCCTCTGTGCCAGGCCTCCCCAGCCAGAATTTCCTGTCATTAAGCTGGGACTTAATAAGATGAAAGCAGCAGTCCCCAAACCTTGTTGAGGTGTTTTGTGGCCCCCAAGGTTTAAAGAAAGATTAACAGTTTTCCTTACTGCAGACCTTCTCAGAGCCTTGAATGTGCTGCTGTGCACTGTAAGTTTCTGAGAAGAGGTGATGTATACAGTGTGTCCTAAACACACCTGACCACAGAACCTTTTTACATTTTTTTTCATGGAGCATTAACATCTAGTAGCTCCATGTATGGGGGAAAACTGAATTAAAGCAGTGTGCAGTAACGTGTGTGCCTAGTCGAGTCAGCTCCCCAGGGGTGTGTGCATCTAAAGAAGAATATCAGAGAGCCAGACAGGGTAGTGCATGCCTGTAATCCCAGCACTCTAAGAGGCAGAGGCAGAAGGATCTCGAGTTCGAAGCCAACCTGGGCTTCCTAAGGAGGCCCTGTCTCAAAAAACCAAAAGTAAAAACAAAATCAGTATCAGAGCTTCCCACTACTTCATCTAGCCATGCATTCTGTTCATAAATGGTGGTGCCTTGGTGCTCCTCGGGTGCTAGAAATACAAAGCCAGGCCTCCCTCCCTCCCAGAATGTGGAGCAGGTGGGACTCAGCAGATCTGCCATGGCCTGCCCTTGCCCTTCCCCAGCACAAGGACCACCCGGTCCTCTTCGGCATGAGGATGAGGCTTTGGCTCAGGACCCTGCAGCCACTTGGGAGTTTTCCCTGGGAAAAGTGCCCCCCTGGCTGCAGAGACAAGTTTAGCTTCAGTCCCCAACCCCCTTCCAGCCACATCTAGAACCCTCTGTACCTGCCATTGTTCACACCGACCCTTTTTCTTTCAATGGATGTGCTTCCAAAAACAGATTTAATGCCAGGCACCAGTGGCTCACACCTGTAATCCTAGCTACTCAGGAGGATCGCGGTTCAAAGCCAGCCAGGGCAAATAGTTCATGAGACACTATCTTGAAAAACCCTTCACAAAAATAGGGCTGGTGGAGTGGCTCAAGGTGAAGGTCCTGAGTTCAAGCCCCAGTACACAAAAAAAAAAAAAAAAAAAAACAAAGACATTTAAATTTATTTAAAATAGATAATGACTATAAATTGTCATCCCAATGAATTTATATATATATATTATATATATTAATATATTATATATATTAAAATGTATAACTATCGAAATAGAATGTTTTTCTGGATCCCACTTAAAGTCATCTACATGCCCCCATACCCCCCCAAGAACCTCCTCTGTGTGAAGCCAACTGTCCAGAGCTCAGTACATCACCAGGTTCAGATTTCCGAACTGAAAAGTTAATGCATGTTTACAAAAGCCTTCGGCCATGTCTCCCCTGCAGGAGCAGCAGCTGTATGGGAAGGCTTGAGGCTAGAGCCACTGCAGCCCAGGAGTCCAGGATTTGCTTATCTGCCAAGCCCCCAGGGGGTGCTGGTCCTAAGCACAAAGATGCAAGAGATGAAAACATGAAAGTACTTGAAGGGTGACCTTGGGTTGTCTCTAGTGGTGGCCCCCACCTCCAGATGTGGTGTGGATGGCAGGGCCCCCCTAAAGTCGCAAAGCACAACTTGTGGAGAATGGGCCAGAGGGCACTGGAGAGCTTGCTGGTTCCCTCCCCTCCCCCTACTTCCCTCTCTCCTTCCTTCCCTCCTTTCTTTCCACTTCCCCTCCTCCTTTCTCTTCCTCCTCCCCTCCTCCCTTCCTTCCCACCTCCTTCCTTAAGTGGTTATTTTAGGAAACCTCTGGGCACATCTCTGAACTCTCCAGAGAAAGACTCACTGTGGAAGGAGTGGGGCTCAGCTTCCACACGTGAGCTTCAAATGAACAGATTGGGAATGTGTGCCTCACCCTGCTTCCTCCTTTCCTCTAGGGCTCCCTGCCACGTGGCCTGCCACCAGCCCAACGGCGGAGGGACTCACAGAAGGCCCTTCTGCAACTGCAGAGCCCTCTGCCTCAGAGGAGCCATCCACGCCTTCTCTCTCTGTGCCAAGTGGGACGGAGCTGCCTGGCTCTGGGGAGGTATCTGGGGCCCCTGACCTCAGTGGTGACTTCACAGGCAGTGGAGAAGCTTCAGGACACCTTGACTTCAGTGGGCAGCCCTCAGGGGGCATCGCAAGTGGACTGCCCTCAGGCGACCTTGAACCCAGTGGCTTCACCTCCACCGTGGGCTCTGGCCTGCCTGTGGGAAGTGGGCTGGCCTCAGGAGATGAACATGGAGTTGAGTGGTCCAACACAACAATCGTTGGCAGGTTGCCTTCTGCAGGTGAGGGCCAAGAGGGCTCTGCTTCTGGAGTAGAAGATGTCAGTGGACTTCCTACTGGAGGAGAAGGTCTAGAAACCTCTGCCTCTGGAGTAGAGGATGTAAGTGGACTGACTTCTGCAGGAGAAGGTCTAGAAACCTCTGCCTCTGGAGTAGAGGGCATCATTGTACTTCCTACTGAAAGAGAAGGTCTAGAAACTTCTACCTCTGGAGTAGAGGATGTCAGTGGACTTCCTACTAGAGGAGAAGGTCTAGAAACTTCTACCTCTGGAGTAGGAGACCTCAGCAGGCTTCCTACAGAAGGAGAGGGTCTAGAAACTTCTACCTCTGTAGTAGAGGACATCAGTGTACTTCCTACTGAAAGAGAAGGTCTAGAAACTTCTGCCTCTGGAGTAGAGGATGTCAGTGGACTTCCTACTAGAGGAGAAGGTCTAGAAACTTCTGCCTCTGGAGTAGGAGACCTCAGTGGGCTTCCTACAGGAGAAAGTCTAGAGACTTCTGCCGCTGGAGTAGAGGATGTCAGTGGGCTTCCTTCAGGAGAAGGTCTAGAAACTTCTGCCTCTGGAATAGAGGACATCAGTGCACTTCCTACTGAAAGAGGAGATCTAGAAACTTCTGCCTCTGGAGTAGAGGACATCAGTGGGCTTCCCTCAGGAGAAGGTCTAGAAACTTCTGCCTCTGGACTAGGGGACATCAGTGGATTTCCTACTGAAAGAGGAGGTCTAGAAACTTCTGCCTCTGGAGTAGAGGACGTCAGTGGACTTCTTTCTGGAGGAGAAGGTCTAGAGACTTCTGCCTCTGGAGTAGAGGACATCAGAGGGCTTCCCTCAGGAGAAGGTCTAGAAACTTCTGCCTCTGGAGTAGACATCAGTGTACTTCCTACTGAAAGAGGAGGTCTTGAAATTTCTGCCTCTGGAGTAGAGGATGTCAGTGGACTTCCCACTGGAGTAGAAGGTCTAGAAACTTCTGCCTCTGGAGTAGACATCAGTGTACTTCCTACTGAAAGAGGAGGTCTAGAAACTTCTGCCTCTGGAGTAGAGGATATCAGTGGACTGACTTCTGCAGGAGAAGGTCTAGAAACTTCTGCCTCTGGAGTAGAGGATATCAGTGCACTTCCTACTGAAAGAGGAGGTCTAGAAACTTCTGCCTCTGGAGTAGAGGATGTCAGTGGACTTCCCACTGGAGTAGAAGGTCTAGAAACTTCTGCCTCTGGAGTAGAGGACATCAGTTCACTTCCTACTGAAAGAGCTGGTTTAGAAACTTCTGCTCTGGAGTAGAGGATGTAAGTGGACTGACTTCTGCAGGAGAAGGTCTAGAAACCTCTGCCTCTGGAGTAGAGGACGTCAGTGGACTTCCTTCTGGAAGGGAGAGTCTAGAGACCTCAGCTTCTGGAGCTGAGGACGTCAGTGGGTCTCCTTCTGGAAAAGACTTGGTGGGCTCTGCTTCTGGGCCCTTGGACTTTGGTAGACTGCCGTCAGGGACTCTAGGAAGTGGACAAGCTCCAGAAGCAAGTGGCCTTCCATCTGGATTCAGTGGTGAGTATTCTGGAGTGGACCTTGGAAGTGGCCCGGCCTCTGGCCTGCCTGACTTCAGTGGCCTGCCCTCTGGACTCCCAACTGTCTCCCTGGTGGATGCTACGTTGGTGGAAGTTGTCACAGCCACCACACCAATCGAGTTGGAAGGGAGGGGAACAGTTGGCATCAGTGGTGTAGGAGAAACCTCTGGGCTGCCCCTCGGCGAGCTGGACGTTAGTGGGGGAGCGAGTGGACTCCCTTCTGGAACTGAACTCAGTGGCCAGGCGTCTGGGTCTCCTGACCTCAGTGGAGAAGCATCTGGACTCTTCGGTGTTAGTGGGCAGCCATCTGAGTTTCCTGACATCCATGGGGAACCGTCAGGAATGGCCGAGCTCAGCGGACTATTTTCCGGACAGCCAGACGTCAGTGGGGAGGCCTCTGGAGCTCTTTTTGGCAGTGGCCATCCCTTTGGCGTAACCGACCTGAGTGGAGAAATCTCTGGGGCTCCTGATCTCAGCGGGCAGCCATCAGGGACACCAGAGTTCAGTGGAGCAACCCCTGAGACCCCTGGCTTGGCTTCTGGGACTGTGAGTGGCAGTGGTGAATCTTCTGGCATTACGTTTGTGGACACCAGTTTGGTGGAAGTGACCCCTACTACATTTAAAGAAGAAGAAGGTTTAGGGTCTGTGGAGCTCAGTGGCCTCCCTTCTGGGGAGACAGATCTGTCAGGCACATCTGGGATGGTGGACGTCAGTGGGCAGCCTTCTGGAACAGTTGATTTCAGCGCGTTTCCATCCCAGCCTCCAGAATTCAGTGGGCTCCCGAGTGGAGTGGCTGAGGTCAGTGGAGAATCCTCTGGAGCCGAGGTTGGGAGCAGCCTGCCCTCGGGAGCATTCGACGGCAGTGGCCTTCCATCAGGTGTCCCCACTGTCTCCCTGGTAGACAGAACTTTGGTGGAGTCTGTAACTCAGGCTCCACCCGCCCAGGAAGCTGGAGAAGGACCTTCAGGCGTGTTGGAACTCAGTGGGGCTCACTCTGGAGACCACTCTGGATCTGTGGACCTCATTGGGCTGCAGTCTGGGATAGTGGAACCCAGCGGAGAGCCACCAAGCACTCCATATTTTAGCGGTGACTTTTCCAGTACCTCTGATACAAGTGGAGAATCTTTGGCATCCCCAAGCGCCAGTGGGGACACCTCGGGACTTCCAGAAGTTACTTTAATCACTTCGGAGTTTGTGGAGGGTGTGACCGAAGCAACTGTTTCCCAGGAACTTGGCCAAAGACCGCCTGTGACACACGTGCCTGTGCTGTTTGAGGCCAGTGGGGAATCCTCGGCCTCTGGGGACATGGGTGGGGCCACACCAACCTTCCCCGGGCCTGGAGGAGAACCATCAGTGGTGCCTGAAGCCAGTAGTGGGTCGTCTGCCTATCCTGAGTCTGGGGTGGCCCCCGAGGCTAGTAGCGAGGCACCTGAGTCCACTGATCTGCGAGAAGCCACCTCTGCCTTCCCAGAATCTGCGCTAACAAGTGCCTCTGGCCTGGGACCCAGCAGCAGCCCTTGGACCTTTCATGAAGGTCCCAGAGAGGGGTCAGCTGGTCCAGAAGTGAGTGGAGAGGTAACCCCCAGCTATGACGTGGGCACAGAGGTATCAGCTACTCCCATGGCTTCTGGAGACAGGACTGAAGTCCGCGGAGACCCATCTGGTCACACCTCAGGGCTGGATGTGATCCTCAGCACCAGCGAGCCAGAGTCTGAGTGGATCCAGCAAACTCAGCGTCCTGCAGAGGCGCGTCTAGAAACCGAGTCCTCCGGCCGCTGGTACTCAGGAGAAGAGACCCCAACAGCCAACACAGCCACCTACCCAACAGACGCCTCCATCCCTGCGGCTCCACAAGGGGCAGGAGAGGCAGAGTCACCTGCTGCAGGTATCGTTGGGATCCTTTTTCTTTTAAATGTCTTTGGCAGCTCCCTGTGCAGCTTAACCAGTGATTAGCTGTACAGCCTCTGGCAAGATTCTCAACCCTTTGAACCTCGTCTGTAAAGTAAGAATAGCACTGGGGGCACTAGGCAGAATGGTAATGTAGCTCAGATAAAGCAAGCACTTGGCATCACAGTTTGCACACAGGGCACTTACGGAATCAGTGACTGCTGTCATTACAGTAGTGACACTGTACGAAATTTACATGCACAGGGAGAAAGAAGGGGGACTCTTTAGATAGTGCTAGAACCTAATGTTAGACCCTGGGTCCACATCCCAGTGCGCTGGGACACGTCACAGTGCCTCGCCTCCACACACAGGCCCCAGGCACTGGAGCCCTTGCCCCTCCCCCTGCCCTGGGAGAGCTTTCACAGTCAGAGAAGGGGCCCCCAGATGCCGAGGCTCACGTGCCCAAGGGGACAGAGTCCCCAGAAACAAGCCGACCCAAAGCCATCCTCACAGACTTCAGGGACCTCATGACCCAACTACGAGGTCTCAGAGACTACACCTGTCCCCAGGCACCTGTGTTTTTGATACTTGCCCCCACCCCTTGTGGGTTGTAGCCCCTGCCAGGTCCTGTGCAGAGGGGCTCTGTAGCACTGGATTATGCCAGGGGGCCGAGAGACATGTCACGCATCTGTGTTCCCCTGGCCACACTGGTGAGCACTGTGACATAGGTAAGATCCCCACTGGCTATGGGGGTGCAGCGGGCACTGGGTGAACCAAGTCCTTTGTCTCAGAAGGGGCTGCAGGTAGAAGGAGGCGACCAAGGTCAACTGAGGCTCAGGCGTCTCACACTGGGAAGGAGAGAATCACAATGTCAGGCGTGTGGTTGGGGGAGCCACAGGACACACGTGGCTCATCTTCCTGAGCATTTGGTCAGGAAGATTTGGAGAAAACTCAAGTTAAATAATTAGGCTGATTAGCAAGCTGGGGGCCTGACTCAAGTGATAGAGCGGCTGCCTAGCAAGTGCAAGGCCCTGAGTTCAAACCCCAGTACCACTAAAAAAAAAAACCTAGTAGCGAGTTTTATATCCAACAAATAGTCAGCTTATGAGTAGAATTTAAAAATGTACTTTAATTTTTGGAGATAAAACTTGAGACTTCAAAGAAATATGAAACTTGGGGTGAGTAGGGTACAACCAGTCACAGCCCACGGCCCCCGGTGAGGAGCCTTTGAGGGCCCCTTGCATCACACAGGGAGTGTGCCTGTGGTCCCCTCCATGCCTGGTGCTGAGTGGGGATTGGGTCCCCTTCTTGTCAGAAGGAAGCACCACCGTGCTTTGTCAGCAAGCATAGACACTGGTGGCTGTAGGACAGCTGTGACCAAGTGACGGTGTTTCCCATGGGCGCCCACCACTCTTCAGGCTCTGGTTGTCCTTTGCCATGGGATAAGTGAGGAGACTGGAAACTTTATGCTTGGAAGTGCCCCCAAAACAAGATGGTTAGACTCCACCTGTCACTCTGTGACACACCCAAGGCCTGTGGCCACCATGACATCTCATCCCTTCAACATCCAATGCTACCCAGTTACCTCCAAGCTCACGTTCTTGGCTTTGCTCTATCTACTGCCCAGTGTCCTTGTCCCAACCTCTCTCCTGAGTCAGGGTCTTCATAAAAGACTTCATTTGCAGGCCACATGTCAAAAGGGAGATGAATCCTAGGGAAAAACAACCACTGCCAGGTTTTCCAAATAAACCAGCAAGTAGCTTCCAACAGCCTTTATGTCACACACAAAAAGGGTTCTGTGTTCTGTGTTCTGTCCCTGACCTGGGCAGAGGGACAGTTCTCATCTCATGCTGGCCAGGAACAAAACAACCCCTTGTTATCCCAGCATGGCTTTTGAGCTAAACCCATGCTTAGTTCATGCCTAGGAACATGGAAAGAAAAAAGGGATTCTTGTATGTTAATGTATTTGCAAATTAACACACAATGTAAAACAAGCTATATACTTGGCCCAAGTATAGTGATATGTGTCTATATTAACAGTCACTAGGAAAGCTGGCCATCTGCCCTTCCTCCCTTGAGGCTTTTATTCCTCACAATCTCTTCCCCAACAGCTCTGTGAGCAAGTTAATAATTACCCCCATTTGAAACTGGAATACAGAGAGATTAATTAATTTGACCAACTGCACTAAGTGAGCTGAATCGAGTCAAGGCCTCGATTTACAGAAGAACCATCTTGAAAATCAAGACAAATTGCTGGACTTCAGAGAGCCAGGGTGGGAAGGGGCAGAGAGTTGAGTTGGTCAGACTCAACACTCGCAGCCAAGCCCCTGGTCCCCTCCGTCCCTAGGGATCAAGGTAGTGGTTCCCATCCTGGGAAAATCATGATGCCCACAACCCACAGATTCTGATGGAGCTGGTGCTGTGGCCTTTGGCACTGGAGTTTTAAACTCCCAGGCTGAAATGTGCAGTGAGGGCTGAGTGTACTTCCGTGAGGATCAAGATGAAATGCGTTTAATGAAAATTGGTGCCCTCCCCCAGCTCCCACTCGCTTGGTAGGAAAAGCTTTAGCAAGTAGTGAGGATCAGTTTACACAAACCTAGTCTGGGCCCCAGTCACTCCTGTTCAATTTAGCTCAGGTTCAAGTGCATCCAGAAGAACTGGTCCAGTCTCCATGGATGACCCACCCATGGTGTTGTGCTAGAACCAGGAACCACAAGTTGTTAAAAAGACCATAGATCAGTATCCTCCAGGGCCAAATGCAGCATTATTCCTGCAGTGATATTCTAAAATTCAAGGGAAAACCCCACATCTACAGGAGGTTATCCGTCCAAAAAGAAAACATTTGACAGTTGTCATCTTATTCTAGTCAGTATTCCATAAATAAGTTCTTAATAAATTATTAATCAGTACTTTTGACTTCAAAATGAACATCTTTTTAATGCCTACTCAGATCCTTTAGCAAGTAAGAGCAGAGCTGTTCTCTTTTGACCCAGTGAAAAGTCAGCAGCAACTTCCTGCCTTCCTTACTGACGGCCTCTGTCAGGGTCAGGCCCTGACCCTGGTTTCAGTCCTGGCTACTGCTTAGCCACACCTGGGGTGCTTTTAAAAGGCATCACATCAGCCAGGTGTTGGTGGCTCACTAAATAGTTTGTGAGATCCCATCTCCAAAATAACCAGAGCAAAACGAGCCGGAGGTGTGACTCAAGGGGTAGAGCACCTGCTTTGCAAGCACAAAGCCCTGAGTTCAAACCCCAGTCCCACAGAAAAACAATCAAAGAAAACATCGTGCTTGGGCTCCACCCTGAGATCTTCTCGGGTGATCTGGAGGTGAACTCCAGCACTGGCACCTTTTAAAAATCTTTATTGTTTTTTTGTTTGGGTTTGGCTTTTGAGACAGGGTCTGGGGTCATCACACACAGCTCCCACAGGTTGTGCACTGAATAACTTGAAGAGTCTCCTGTACGTTGTAGTCTATATGAGTGGCGAAATAGTATCACTTGAGTAAACCACCTGCAGTCACTCTTCAGCGTTTTCTAAGAACCCAGGACACTTGCTGTCTTGGAAGTCCTGAGCTCTGATCCAGGCAAAAACTGCACAAGACCTATTCAAAGGGGAGGCCTGAAGTATCCCCTATTTCTCTGGCCTTTACTAGGGGGCTCTCAGTTATTTTTTATCCTAAGTTAGAGGGGTGGCTGGAGAGCCTTGATCAGAATCAAATTATGCCTTCCAGTTAGAGTACCGAGAGGAGGGAGAGCGATGGTGGGTGAGACTTTGGGGGCTGGAGCTGAAATGACAATGAGATGCTGAGCACAGGCATCCCACGTCTCTCTCCCTCTGTATGGGACAGAGGCCCAGCTTCCTGTCTCACTTCCTGACTCTCCTCCATCTCTTCCAGTCCCACTCTTCCACTTGTCAAGTGGACAGGTCACTCCACTGTGTCTGAACCTGTAAAATGACGCCATGGTTTCTGTACCTCTGGGCTGTGGGGAGGATTTGTGTGCAGGGTTGGAGCATCTGTCTCACAGAAGGTTCTTTCTGGGTATTGGTCCCCTCCTTTCCTCTCTTCTCTCATGAAGAGAGCCCTTCCCTCCCTCCTTCTGCTGTCACCTTGTCTGGGACCCCCTCTGCCAACAGCACGGACAGGAGGATGCAGCCCAACCCCTCTCTTGGTTCCAGCAGCTGAGCGATGTCCTAAGTGACTTTCTCAGAAAGGGGTGGGGGGGTGTCAAGTCGGGGGAGGAGCTCTTGCAGACAAAGAAAGAGATGAGGTGCCACCGGCCCGTGTGGCTACTGAAAGAGCCCCGCCCAGGACACCAGCCCTGTCCCCTGCTGAAGGCTCGGAGTCCGCCTCTCTAACCTGCCCCAGGGATGCCCACATATGCTCTGATCCTCAGGGTCCTGGCCCTTCCCTCTTTCCTCTGCTGGGAATCCCGGGCCCTTCAAAAAAACAACTTCTGAGCCCAGGCCTTGGTTCCTTATGTCCTCATAGCCTTAAATTTGTGTCCTGGCCCAACACAGAGGGAAAATAACACCGGGCCCTGGACCCGGTACTGCCTGGGGCAGGTGAGGTGCCATACCTAAGCCCCTGGGACATCCAGAAGCTGCCTGACCTGACCTTCCCATCCGGGCCTCTTGCCTTTCCTGCCTCTCCTCTCATGGATCAGCCAGGAGCCCCAGAGTTGACATCTGGCTCTTCTCCCCAGAGCCACCCCTGTCCCCTGCTCTGTACAACTGCTTTAGCGCCTACATTTGCTTAATTTTCCTTGCTGGTGCCTCCCCAGCTCCCATAATGACACTAATGGACACAAGAGAACACAGCTTTCCTAAAGCAGGTGAGCCGCCCCCAGCTTCCACCCTGCCGACTGACCTGACCTATTGCTGCTACTGCTGCTGCTGGGAATCCTGATGCATGCTGGGAATCCAAGTGCATGCTGGGATTTCAGTCAGTTCCTCCATGCATTTTGGGTTTGCTTGGAACAGTTCCAAACTTGGAACTGTTGGTTTCTAATCCATGGTGTGCGCCTCTTGAAATGGAGCTAAGGACTTCCTGGGAAAAGAGATGTGACAAGTGGAGACTAAGAGCTTTCTGGAATGAACTAGATGCCAGAGAACTGGGGTTTTCAGGCCACCCACATGGCAAATGCAGCTCTAGCCAAGAAGATGTCAACCATACCCGAGCTGGAAGATCCAGAGGAGAGTTGTTTCCACCATCTTCTCAAAACAGACTGAAGGTCTGCTTTGCTCTTATGATGGCAAGAACTAAGTCCTGGAACATACGTAGGACTCAGAGGTTCTATTCTCAACCTGGGACTTAGCCACCCACGTGGAGACCACCATCATTGGATCCTGAAGGGGTATGAGCACAGGTGCACACACAAGCCTTGGTACCTTCCTGCTGTGTGGCATGGTGTCTCATAAGCCAGTAGACCTCACTCATTGCAGAATTCTGCTCTCCCAACAAGAGAGCTGCGTAAAATCTTTTATCATGTTCCCAGGGAAGGGCACCCAAGAATAAAAACCAGCAGGAGCCACAAAGAGAAGAAGAGGCCCCCATGTCTTCTGGTTTCTCAGAAAGATGCAGGAAAAACCAGATTAGGAGATTCTGTTCTCACGTTACCTTAATTGATGAGGAGAGGCCAAGACCAATGATTTACCTACAGGGAAGTTCAATCAGAGAGAACACCTTGAGACCAAAAGAATAGGAAAGAGCCTACCTGAGAGGAAGAAGCTGATGGCTACCTGCCTGTCTGGCAAGTGGCCACTTACTAAGCACCTGGCCAGCTTTGCACATTTGCTTTCCACTGGCCAGTCTGGAGTCTGTCTGGAAAGTGTGACTCGCTGAAGATAGGCCACCTTCTGGGCCTTAAGCTGGAAGATTACCTGGGGAGATAATGGACAAGATTTCACTCTCTCTCCCAAGAAAAAGATTCTGGCTTTGTTTTTACAAGACACTCTAGAATCTTATTTACTGAAGACAAAGAAGGTATCTGCAACTCAAGAACTCTGATGAGTCTCCCGCAAATGTCGCATGTGGGCATTTTGTCATGGATCTGTACTTCAAAGACCACCTCTAGCTTGCTCATTCTAGTACTAAATGGCGTGATCCTCTTTCCCCGACTCACAAGTGTGGTGGAAGCCAGGAGAAGCCTTTTGACCAAGCCTCAAGAACTTGACCTCCAGCATCCTTGACCATAGGCAGATCATACTCCATGGCTTCTTGAAATAGTCACGTGAGACAGTGCCTGGGAGGAACTCAGTGCCCACAAAAAGGCTCCAACCCAATAAGGAGACCCAGCTCCAAGATTCCAAGTTTGCCAATCAAGAATCACACACATCCAAGATCCCTGTCTGGATCTTTAGTTCTGCATTCCAAGATGGCAGCGTCAGCAGCAGCAGCAGCAGCAAAAGTTATCAGGAAAACCAGCCTGTCCCCTCCCTGGGGTCTGGAGAGCAGCAGGGCTGGCCACCCGTAAGGAGTTCACAGTGCTGTGAGGCTGGAATGGGCAGCAGGAGTCTCTAATGGCGGCCCTTGGTTTCTTGCAGACATTGATGAGTGCCTTTCAAGCCCTTGTCTGAATGGAGCCACCTGCCTGGACGCCATCGACGCTTTCACATGCTTATGCCTTCCCAGCTACGGAGGGGACCTGTGTGAGATCGGTACGGCCGTCTCGGCTTCAGCTAATGTTACTAACCGCTGCCCCCTCCTCCCTCACCCTTCCCTCCTAACCACAGGCTCTAGCCCTGACTGGAGCCCCAAGTCCATCTGGAGCCACAGCTGTGAAATCTGCCCCCACTGATTCCTAGTCCTGATCTCGCTCTTCCGTTTAGAAGCCCTCCTCTGGGGCACTGGCTAGGCCGATGGCAGGACAGACAAGCAATTCCACTTTGGCTCTGGGAACCTTTAAAAAACTAACCCTCCCCAGGGCTTGCGTCTTGCTGGTGCCACTGCCAAGCTAGGTGTATGCATCACACTAAGGATGGAGCTGAGTCCAAGCATCTGTCTTGAAGGAAGCTGTGGGGAGAAGTGATTGGTTCTCACTCTGACAACAGCTTGAGATCTTCTTGGCATGGTTACAGGCACTGTCTGCCCAGAGTGCTGCCTGTGGGATTTTTGAGGCCCTTCCATGGCCCTGGGAGCCACCATGCCATACTAGCCAGGCCACCTCGCTCCTGGGGCAAGGGTGCTGGTTGGTCTTCCTGAGAAGCATGCTCCAGTCATGCAAGAACAGGACAGCTACATGTCATCTCTCTCTCCAAAACACCATGACAGCGGCCATCTCATGCCATGCCAGCCCAGGTTTCCTTTCTTCCTTGAGCAAAGCAAAGGGCTGGCCAGACAGAACCATCTTGTTGCATGGGACAGATGCTGCAGTTCCTCCCTTGGGCCTTGCCAAGCCCACTGTTTCTGCAGCTGTGTGCCAGGAGCCCCTCGGGCTGGGCTGAGCATCCCACGTTCTCACCCACAGTGCTTCCTGGGCTCCCGCCAGCCTGCTGGATCTCAGAAAAAAGGGAGATGCTGGTGGCAATGGCCCACGCAATCGGAAGTGTGGAGGAATTCCAAACCCTTTTCAATGACCTGTCGAGCCGGACACCCAGAAACTTCCCAGCAGCTGAGACTTCTGGGAAATCTCCTTTTGGATCTAAGGAGTGTGGGGAGGTAGTAAGGGTTGGAGACACTGCCCAGGTTACAACAGGAGAAGGAACTTAAGGCTTCTGGGGAAAAAAAGGCCTGGACACCTGTCCTCCCCTGCAGCCTTCCACCCCAAGAAATTGGTGCACAGGGTCTCAGCTGAGGCAGGAATGGAGAGCTATAAGAATTTCCTTTACAGGGTACCTAAAAGGGGAGAAGGGTCTGGAACATTCACATAGGCAACAGTTCTGGGGTTCCAGCCTGGGAAAGGGGGAATTCTGCAGGAACAGAGGCAGGGCCCGCACAGGGCTCTGCATCCTGATGGAGCCAGGGCCATCAAGCAGGGCTATAACCCTAGATCCCCAAGGCTGTGTCATCTGTTCCATTCCATCCCTGAGCCAGCAAGCACACCCCATGGCACCTCGTGCCTAGGCTCTGGCTTCACTGCTTCTTCCAGCCTCCCTGGAAATCTTTCTCTGTCCCCAGAGCCTCCATCTTGCATGGCCCCACCTAGCCACCCCTGGCAGCAACCCACTTCAGCTCTGCCTCAGCTCAGCTGAGAATTGACCCATGAATCAGCCCTAGGAAGAGATCAATGTCCTTACGGTGCTGAGCTACTTCTGGGTCCTCTCCTCCTCCTCTGGGACCTTTGTTTCACCCCCTGGCGAGGGCATCAGAAGCAGGAGGACCCAAGGCCTCCCCTTGCCCCTCTGCAGCTCAGCCTCTGTCTTCCCAGGCTATCGGCCTTCGTTGCCCACTGTCTTCACTCTTCCAAGTTGCTACACATCCACCCCTCAACCTAAGTTAGACAACTTTCCCTCAACGACTGGGACAGCCTGACCATTGGTGGGACCCAGATGGAGGCTGTCACCCATCCTGAGACATTCCTGGCCCTTCATTGAGTTCCAGGGTCATCACCTGGGCCGGATAGCCAACCACACTAGAGGGCCCAGGGGAAGAAGGGAGAGAGGGACTTGGAACTCCTCTTCCTGACTCCCATCAGTGCTGCACTGGCAGATGCTTGACAACGGCTGTCACAGAGGAAAGGGGAGCCCTAACTGGTAGCATCTGGGTGTAAATCCTCCCACCAGGACCAACTTAAAATCCCAGCCGCTGTCACTGAAGGCAGAGCTAGGAAGAGATAGGACTGCCTCTTCTAGTTCCGCCCAGCTGCTTGCAGCACCTCCCTGCCTGTTCCCCAGGCTGCTCCAAGACATCCAAACCAGCCCTGACTCCATAACAAATTCAGAAGCCCCTCCCCTCTTCCCCCTCTGCCACCAAAATGTAAGATAAAATAAAAGCCAGGGCCGCTGGGTCACAGACCACCTCCTGGATGCCCTTTAGGAGGCAGTCCAGGTGAGCTCAGCCACAGCCAGTTGGGATCTGTGCCCTAGAGCGCTGAATAGACTTAATTTCTGCTCCTCTGGCTTCACTCTGGGAAGGAGGTTGCCAGGTCCATTTCATCCCCAGCCCTCCTCTCGTGCTGCCTCCACCTGCTTCTCACAGCTGCTCTGCCCAGAGCGCCATGCTGTGCCTTAAATCTCAAAACCTCCCACCTTTCCCCTCCTTGTACCTGCACGGCCGGACACTGCCAGCCTCCAGAGCAAGTGTCCCCAGGAGGAAGCCTGGAGGTAGAAGGCACTACATCAGGGAAAGACAGGGTCCCCAGCATTTCCTAGAAGTGAGACATGCACGGAGGATCCTTGTGTGGCCTTACTGGTTTCCAACACCAGCCTCTCCAGCTGGGCTGTCCCCTGCCTTGAAGGCAAAGCATTTAAGGTGGGATGAATATAGGAATCCCTGTCACAAGACTGGCAGTGACCACATGCCCTGCTGGCCTCCAACCCCCCTTCAAACCCCTGACCTGTGTTGCAGACCAGGAGGTATGTGAGGAGGGCTGGACCAAGTTCCAGGGCCACTGTTACCGCCACTTCCCCGACCGCGAGACCTGGGTGGACGCTGAGCGACGGTGCCGGGAGCAGCAGTCACACCTGAGCAGTATCATCACCCCTGAGGAGCAGGAGTTTGTCAACAGTGAGTGTGGCTTGGCCTCTGGGACCTGAGGAAAATGGCCATATGAGGAAAGGGCCTCACCTACCTCTCAGAAGGTAGCAGACTGCAGGCTGATGGTGTAGCCCAGTGGTAGAGCACTTCCCTAGCATGCACGAGGCTCTGGGTTCAATCCCCAGCATCACAAAACAAGAAGGGGTGGGGGGGTGGCGGGGAGAAAGAGAAAAAAATGAAATCAGCGGACTGGGTAAGGCTGCAGGAACGGGGTTTAGAGGAGGGACGAGAAGGGCATTGCCACAGCCTGAGTTCCCTGAGAAAAGTCAGAGGTCTTTGGGGCCAGTGACTGGTTGCTCCCAGGCAGACCTCTGCTAGTCAGAGCCCATCCCAGATTTACCCTGTGGCTGTCACCTGTCCATGCCAGCTTGGGGAGGAGGTCCAGTGTACACCCCAAACATGCATGTGCTGGAACCCTCAAAAGGAGCTCAGAAGCCAGTGGCCTGTTCCTAGGAGCCCACCACCCTTTCCTCTCCATCCTCTGCCTCCATAAGTCCCAGAACTCAGACATTCCAGGGTGTCCAACTCCAGGTCCAAACCACCTTCCCTCTACAGAGAACGCTCAAGACTACCAGTGGGTTGGACTGAACGACAGGACCATCGAAGGGGACTTCCGCTGGTCAGATGGACACCCCTTGGTGAGTTCTTCTGTAGCCTAGAGGAGAAGGGGAGGGGCGAAGACCCCCAGAGGGGCATGCGTTCAAACCCCAGGCAAACACTTGCTGAACAGCTGCTGGAACAGGAGCCTGGAGGGCGGGGATAGGGTCTGACTCCTCTCTGCGTTTGGGGGATCCACCCAGAGTTGGATAGATTGAGCGAATGAAGGCAGGAGACGGGAAAGGAGAACCAAGAGGCACATGAATGAATACTAGAAAGCAGCCGCCAGTGCTCAGAGAGCTTCTATGTACAAAGCAACATGGAGGTCAAGTGAACACTTCACTGTTCAGGCAGTGAAGGGCTGAAGACTGTCATGGGCTCTGAGCTCCTGGAAAGGGCCCCAGAGGCTCTGTTGCTGGTCCCCTGAAGGGCCTGGGGTTCTCTCTATGGGACCAAACCTCACCAGACTCCCAGTGACCTTCACCACTGCCAGAGCAGCCAGAAGTTGGGCTAAAGGAGAGGGAAGACAGGGGAGAGACTTAAGGGGAAGAAAGTGCCAAGGCTTGCTGTTCCTGCCCCCCTCACCCTGCCCCTCTCCTGCCACAGCAATTCGAGAAGTGGCGCCCCAACCAGCCTGACAACTTCTTTGCCACCGGAGAGGACTGCGTGGTGATGATCTGGCACGAGAGGGGCGAGTGGAATGACGTCCCCTGCAACTACCATCTGCCCTTCACGTGTAAAAAGGGCACAGGTGAGCAGCGCCCGGGAGGAGGCCCAGGTGGAAGGGCCCAGACCTCCACCTCCAAGGGAGGTTCTTGCTATGTGAGCTGGGGGAAGTCCCCTTGCCTTCCAGCTGCTGGTGTCTGTAGGACACCCTCAAAAAGCAGGTGGGTGCTGACGTGGGGGCCTCTCCCAACTCTAGCCTCTGGGGTCAGTGGCAAGGGTGAGCTTGCTCCTGGGGACCATTTATAGGGACACAGAGTTGAAGGTCACAGGCTAGAGGACAGGACCCCCCACTCCACATGTACCATGGTCCCTTGAACCTCAGCATCGGAGTCACCCTCAATGGCACCTGGGGGCCAGCCTCCCTCTCTTAGGGGTTCCAAGTCCGTCCGTGGCAGAAGCAGAGTTGTCAGGCCTTGGTCCCTTGGCTTTAAGTGGTGGACACTGGGGCGCTGGTAGGACACGCGCAGCTGCTGCTGCATGGCCTTAGTCCCCATACCCCCTTCAGGTCCCACTTTCCCCAGCACTAGTCATTGTCATAAAAAAGCCAAGTGGCTTGCCTGGCTCGCCCCTCTTTCCCTACCTTTCTCCCTCCTTTTCATCTTCTTTGGTCACCTAAGTTCCCCTTCGCATCCCCTTCCTGCCACTCCACCTCACTGAGGAACCCGAGCCATTAATTAGAGGCTCCTGTTTCATAGCCCTCTTTCCTCCAGCAGTCAGGGCTCAGCGCTGGGTAGAGGAGCTCACTGCCCCCACCCCCAACAGTGCCTCGCCCACATGGGGCATCACACAGAACCCCAGAAGCCCCCTTTCTAAAGCTGTTTGCCCCTCAGTGGCCTGCGGAGACCCTCCTGTGGTGGAGCATGCCAGAACCCTCGGGCAGAAGAAGGACCGGTATGAGATCAATTCCCTGGTGCGGTACCAGTGCACCGAGGGCTTCGTCCAGCGCCATGTGCCCACCATCCGGTGCCAGCCCAGCGGGCACTGGGATGAGCCTCGGATCACCTGCACAGACCGTGAGCATCACTTGGGCTAGATTCCGCCAGCACAGCTTTCTCTCTGTCCCCAGAACAAAGCAGTGGCTGGCACTCTCCTGGGTGTCCTGTACCAGGAACAGAGCCGCAGCGGGGAGGTCAGGGAGTCGCTTGATCACAAATCGCCAGCCCCTGCCCCAGGGAGGGCCTGGGTTCACTGAGAGGAGGAAGGAGAAGCTGGTGGCCTGCTTTCCTGCCTCCCCTTGGCAAGAGGGTTCAAACAACCCAGGAAGTTTCTGCAGAGAGGAGGAAAGGGACAGGGGCAGGCTCTCCCCCACTTCTTCCTGTTCATCTGTATTTTTCTACCTCTGTTTACCCCAGCCACCAGCTACAAGCGCAGACTGCAGAAGCGGAACTCACGGCCAGCCCGGAGGAGCCGAGCCAGCCCAGCCCACTGAGAGGAGCTCCCAGGACGCACCCAGGATGCTGAACCCAGGGGCCCGCCAGGCTGACCATGCATCCCACCCGCCCAGATGGTGTCCTCTTCTTGTCGCTTTTGTCATATAAGGAATCCCCTTAAAGAAGGAAAGAATAAATCTCACAGGGTTTATGCACCCACCCCCACCAAATCACCAAAACTGCATCTGATTTGTCCCCCCCAAATGCCAAAGGCAAGCAAACTCACGCTAACCCATGGACTGAGTTAGAGACATTTCGTCTCTCTCCTGTTGTGCCTTTCAGGGACCAGCGCAGGGACGGGGAAAGGGAGGGGTTAAGTTAAATAAAGAAGATTATTTTTTCTTCCTGACTTCACCCACGAGCAGTGCAATGGTTGATCATTTCCCCTCCAGGGAGAGCTAGGGTGGAGGGAGTGGGGCTGGGGCGGAGCCGGAAGGGGCAGAGGCCTGAGAACGTGAAGACCCCAGACCCCAGACCCGACGGGACCGCAGCTGAATGTACTGGACAAAAGGAACCAGGAGGGCCGCACCACCTGTGAGGGGGAAGCCTGGGGACAGGGGGTCTTGCAGGCCAAGGGTGAGCGGCAGGAGAGAACCATGCAAGAGGAGCCACCTTCCCTCCAGGGTCCCTCTGCCGAGTCCTCTCACCTGCACCCACCACCCTGAAGGTGTCATCTCTCGGCAGGGCTGGGAAGTGCCCCCGTCCCCTCCCTCTCCTCCCACCCCCGGGACGGTGCAGGCGCCAGTGTTCTGTGCATCTATTTATAGTTTTGAAAACTAAAGATTATAATTATAATAATAAAGACATTGGAAGAGATGTTTCTTTTCTTTCTTTTTTTTTTTTTTTTTTTTTGTTGCCAAGACAAAGGCAACCTAGACCTGGTAGACTTGGTGGCAAGTGGGGATGTGTTTGACCAAATGACCCTGAATAATTAGTGTATCTCCTGTGTGTTCAACAGTCATGTCTGCTGTCCTTTATTTTTACTAGAGTGATAATGGTTGACAGATTCTCCGTGTGTGTGTGTGTGTGTGTGTGTGTGTGCGCCCATCCATGTGTGTCAGTCAGTAGTGCTCAGTGTGATCTGCAGGTGGACACAGTGGTGCACACCTGTAATCCCAGCACTCAGGAGGCTGAGGCCGGAGGATCTCGAGTTTGAGGCCAGCCTGGACTACACAGCAAGACCCTGTTGCAAAAACACAGCAACAAAAAAACCCTAAGAGACATACGGTCCTTGCATAGTTTGGATCTTTGCTGTCATGTGATTTGCTCACAGAGAGGGATCAGTTGGTAAACTGAGTCCAAAAATGGGGATGAAATTAAAATTTAAAAGAAGAAAAAAACCAAAAGAGCAGGCAGTCTGGGAGTAATGCGTCTTGCAAAGACTCATTTTGGGGGCAAAGTGGTACTAGCTGGCTGAGGAGTGTGGTGGCTAAGCGTTTGCTGGTGTGCACGTGTGAGGCCAGGCTACTTTGAGCTCTGGGAAATAAATGGGTGGGCCAAAGAAGAGGATAGAGCCTGGCTAAATAGTAGGGGCTCACGGTAAATTCACTGACTTACGGATGCTTCTTACTTACAGTGAGGTCACATCCATAAGCCCATGGTAAGCTCAGTGGCAGGCACTTGCCTGACGGTGACAGTCCACAGCACTGTGAGAAGAAAGGAGAGAGGAGGGGAGGGAGAGGAGGAGAAGGAAGGAGGAGGAGGAGGAGGAGGGTGGGCCAAAGAAGAGGATAGAGCCTGGCTAAATAGTAGGGGCTCACGGTAAATTCACTGACTTACGGATGCTTCTTACTTACAGTGAGGTCACATCCATAAGCCCATGGTAAGCTCAGTGGCAGGCACTTGCCTGACGGTGACAGTCCACAGCACTGTGAAGAAGAAAGGAGAGAGGAGGGGAGGAGGAGGAGGAGAAGGGAAGGAGGAGGAGGAGGAGGAGGGGGGGAAGGAGGAGGGAAGGAGGAGGGGAGGGGAGGAGGAGGAGGAGGGGGAGGGAAGGAGGAGGGAGAGGAGGAAGGAAGGAGGAGGAGGAGGGGGAGGAGGAGGAAGAGGAAGGAGGAGGGGGAGGAGGAGGAGGAGGAGGGGGAGGGAAGGAGGAGGAAAGAAGGAGGAGGAGGAGGAGGGGGAGGGAAGGAGGAGGGGAGGGGAGGAGGAGGGGGAGGAGGAGGAGGAGGAGGAAGAGGAGGGGGAGGAGGAGGAGGAAGAGGAGGGAAGGAGGAGGAGGGAAGGAGAAGGAGGAGGAGGGGGAGGAGGAGGAGGAGGAGGGGGAGGAGGAGGAGGGGGAGGAGGAGGAAGAGGAAGGAAGGAGGAGGGGGAGGAGGAGGAGGGAAGGAAGAAGGAAGGAGGAAGCGGTTAGGACATCTAACACTACCAAACATCAGAGCTTAGCAACATGGGCTCTCTCTCACGGTGTTTTGCTTTTCCCATGATGGCGCGGATAGCCGAGAGCCATGGCTGCACAGCCCAGCGTCCCTTGCTAGGATCCAACCACATTTCCCAGGCCAGGGAGGATTAAAAATTCAAAGTAGAGTTTCTGCTAGACGCTATTGGGGTTGGAACTTGGGGCCTTATGCTTGCTGAGCAGATGCTCTACCACTTGAGCCAAGCCCCCAGTCCTTTTTGCTTTAGTTATTTTTCAGATGGGCTCTTAATGCTTTTTGCCTGGGCTGACCTTGGACTGAGATCCTCCTACCTCTGCCTCCTGTGTAGGGGGGATTACAGGTATGAGCCACCACGCCCAGTCCTATAGTTTAGACCTTGAATCATTCAGTGTGTTACAGGCTTGTTCCATTGGTGTCATTCTTGGCAGGTGCTGAGGACCTTTAGGGGGTGGGTCCACGAGGGTCCTCAAGCCACAGCACCGTGCCCTTGACAGGGATCCCGTGATCGAGCCTCTCAGGTGATGAGGCGAGCCATTTCTCTGCGTCACACGCCTGCTCTGATATGCTGCCCCCTGGTAATTTGTTCTGGTCAGGTGAAGTGGACTAAAACACCATCATAAGATCAAACACTCTACGTGGACCCATCACAGTTGGGGAATTCTGTGGTTGGTGGCAGCACTGTCTATGATGGTGGCTTTCACACTTGACCATGCATCAGAGTCCCCCGGAGGGTTTGTGATAACACCGAGGCTGGGCTGAACCCCGGAGTTTCCAATTCAGCAGGTCTGGGGTGAGGCCCAAGAATTTGCCTCCTAACAAATTCCCAGTCTCGGGACTGCTTGCTGCTGGGTACATTGAGAATCACTGAGCTGTGATGAAAACCTGACTCCACAACCCAGGGCTGAGCGGCAGGGCATGCCCAGAGAGGTGACAGGTCTGGTTTCCTGATGCGAGGGTGAGTGACCTCTGGAAGTCACAGCTGTCTCCTGAGAGGCGCCTCCCACGCCTCTGCTGAGCCTCCCACGATGCACACCAGGGACTGGGGGGTGTTGGGGTGCAGGCCGGGGCCCCCCACACCTGAGGCAGGGTGTGCCACAGGGCAGGCGAGGCCAAGTCAGCCTAAAGGGGCAGGCCACAGAGTCCACTGCCCACCCAGGGTACTGACTGGGCCACCTGCGGAGCCAGGGACAGAGGACAGAACTGTCACCGCCCCACCCCTGGGCTGGCAGCTGGGCCTTGAAGCTGAGTGAAACAGAGAACCAGAGGCAGAGGCGGCTGGGGATGGAGGAAGGGTCTCGGCGCCATTTATTACCTGGAGAAGATCCACACGTCTGTGTGCTGCCCTCCAGACAGGGAAAGGGACAGCAAATCCCAGACTCTTGGGAGCCAAGAGGGAGGGAGGTCGGGAGAGGGAAAGCCTCCCTTCCCTCAGCTCTCACCCAGAAGCTAGGGACCCTCTCCAGAAACAAATGAATAACAAAAATCTGCCCCAAGGCCCTCTGCCTCCCCAAGGCTAGGGTGAGGGAGACTTGCAGCCAGCATGCCCTGACCCCCTGTGTGCCCTGGGCTGCCCACTGCCCATTCTGGTCACCAATCTAAAAGCCCATGGGACTTCAACTATCTCAGCAGCATGGAGTCTTGGGTAACCAAGGGAGTTGGAAGCTGAATTCCATCAGATTTACAAAACATAATATTTTTTTAAATGTTACATTGAGAAGTATAAAAACAATACTAAAATTGTCCCCACCCACAGGAAAAATGAACCACTCAATAAATACACAGACAGGTACAGAGCTGGTCGCCCCTGAGGGCAGGGGACAGAGGTGGATACAGGGCTGGCCATCTGGGGCCTAGCGCTGGCGGTAGCAGTAGACACCATAGGAGCGGCTCTGGGGATCCGGGAAGCCAAAACTCCGGACCCCAGGCTCGGGGGGCCCGCAGTTGGGACGGGGATGAACCACAGGGTAGCGGACACTGCCATCTGCCAGCCAGCCAGCATCACAGCGGTCCAGGCCACGGAACTTCCAGGCAGCAAAGAGCTGGCCCACCTTGGCGATGTGGGCACCATCTTCCTGGCACGCCTCCCTGGCCTCTGTCAAGGTCAGCTTCTCGGGGTGCTCCAGGTAGTAGACGTGCCCTGCAGGACGTGCACAGCAGTGAGTGCTGTGCAGCTGTGGGGGTGGCCAGTGAAGACCCAGGGGCCTACAAGCAATGCTAGCCCCAAGCCCAGGGAGCCACCATGCTGTGGGCCTCTGTGATGGACACTTTGGGGTGACCTTCCCAGGTTCACCCTTGCTTGCCATAGAGCTGGGGTTCCTCTAGTCACATCTGTGTCCCCCCTAAAATCCTTCCTTAAATGCATCCTGGGTGGGCACCCCACCTAGGCTGAACCAATCCGTCACTGTTTAATCATTTACTGAGCAAGTATTATGTGTCAGACAATTTTCTAAGTGCTCAGGACACAGCACTGAACCCATTTCTTTTTCCCTTGTTTTTCTTGCAATGAAATGGGCTATGTTGCCCGGGAGCCTGGTCGAGCATAGAAGACATTCAGAAAATGTTTGACGAATGAATAACGAATGGTGATCAGGAAGCAGCAGCCACAGAGCACTCAGAAGTCAGGTGGACACTGCGATTTGCTGGTGCTCCAAACCCCAAGTGAGGTGCAGGCAGGGTGGGGAGAAGGCTCTGGAAGCTCCCCAGATGCCACCCTCCCACTGGGTCCAGATGGCCGTGAAGCCCACAGACCTGAGCCCGGTCACTCCACTCACCCTTGAGAGCAGCAGCGAAGCAGAACACGTCATAGTGGTGCAGGTGACGATGGCGCTGACCATAGCTGCGCACGCCAGGTGCCAGGCCCAGGCCCCCGCAGGGCTGCCGCGGCAGGGCGATGGGGTACTGCACTGAGGCGTCCTGCAGCCAGCCCGCGTTGCACCAGTCCAGACCCTCCTCCCAGGCCCGGAAGAGCTGCTCGGAAGAGGCTACCATGGCATCCTGCTCCTCGCAGGCCTGCTGGGCCTCGTGGAAGTTGAGCTGGTAGCGCCCTTTTGGGGGCTGGTAGGGAAAGACCACGCCTGGAGAGGGAGGAAGGAGGAGCTGGAGGTGCAAATGTCCACGGGGGCCCCCAACACACACGCACACACATATAAGGCAGAGCCTGTGTTCCTTTCTCTTTTTTCTGCAGTACTGGGGTTTGAACTCAGGGCCTGTATCTTGAGCCACTCCACCAGCCCTTTTTTTGTGATGGGTTTTTCTGAGATGGGGTCTCTAGAACTATTTGCCCAGGCTGGGTTCGAACTACCAGCCTCCTGCTCTCTGCCTCCTGAGTAGCTGGGATTACAGCTGTGTGTCACTGCACCCAGCCTTTGGAATGCTTTTGATCCATGAGTTAGCTGACCCACGGGGCGGACTGCATCTGTCATTACAAGTCACCTTCCATATGTGACTGATTCAGTCTGTACCAAGTCAGGCGAGACCTCAGGAGCTGGGGTGACCCTAGGGATCTGGGGGGTGCCCTGCTTGGCTTGAAGCAGGGCCCGGAGTCCTGGGAACACCTCTCTGTGGCAGTACCTGGGAATATGCTGTGTGCCAAACCTCACAGGGCAGGAAGCCAGGCACCTAGGCAAAGCCGGGCTGAGGAGCAGAGAAGCCCAAGGCCAGGCAGTCAGCTCACAGCCTCCGTGTGCAGGGCGTTATAGGCCTGGTCCCACCCAAGTTCCCGGTCCTTGCAGCCCCAGGACAGGGCGAGGGCTCCCCATCTCTAGGCTGTGCCCAGGCAGATGACTCTTGCAGGCTCTCTCCCTTCCCTCGGCCATCCCCAACTTCAGAGTAAGCCATGTGGCCACTGTGCCCCGCCATCTGAGCCACACTGCCTGCAGAGTTTGAGGCCCTGCAAAGCTGGAGCCTGAGCGAAGCTTCTGGGATGCACCCTGGCACGCCAGCCTCTGAGGCAGGAACCGAGGGAGCACGGAGAGGCGGGAGCTCCGGGGAGGGCCCGTCACAGGGAGGAGAGAGGACACACAGCCAAGTCCCAGAGACGGCAGAGTCAAAGCAACGTATGTAAGAGATCTCAAACCGGCTGGTCTGGACACCACTGGGTTTTTCTAAAGTAGGACATTTTGACAGAAAAACCCAGTGATCTCAAGGGCTAGGGCGTTTGCCCATCATGCACAAAGTCCTGAGTTCGATACCCAGCACAGCAAAAACCTGAGAAGAAAATCTGGCAGCACCCAGCCCAGTTTCTGGCATCATCAGCTGGGCTTGAGTAAAGGACTCAGAGTGAGTCCAGTCCACCAGGGCATCCCAGGCCCTCCAGCCTCAGCTCTGGCTCTAACTACCTATGGGAGCAGCTCCCTTATCCCTCTCTCAGAATGACATGTGAGAGAGGGAACAGAAGGCAGTGGGCTCTGGAAACTGCTGCCCCAGGTTCAAATCTCAGTTCTTCCATTAATGAGCTGCGGGGCTCTAAGTAAGTTCCTTGACCTCTCTGTGCTTCTCCATCTGTAAAACAAAGGTGGTAATGAGGATGGCTTTCTCGTGGGGTCACTTTGCAAAGCATAAAGGTCTGAGTGCTTCCTTTTTTTTTTGTGGTACTGGGGCTTGAACTCAGGGCCTTCACCTTGAGCCACTTAGCCAGCCCTTTTTTGTGATGGGTTTTTTCAAGATAGGATCTGGAGAACTATTTGCCCGGGCTGAGTTTGAACCGAGATCCTCCTGATCTCTGTTTCCTGAGTAGCTAGGATTGCAGGCCTGAGCCACCAGCATCTGGCTTTGTGTGTGTGCGGTACCCAAGTTTGAACTCAGGGCCTCACTACCACTTGAGCTGCAAGCCAAGCCCTTTACCTTGATCCTCCTACCTATGCCTCCTATGTAGCTGGGATTACTGACACGAGCCACCAGACCCTGCTCACTTATTGAGATGAGGTCTATCTAATTTTCCCCCAAGACTGACCTTGAACTGCAGTCCTCCCAATCTTTGCCTTCTGAATAGCAGGGATTACAGATGTGCACCACCACGCCCAGAAAAGTCTGGATGCTTTCTCTGGGCCTTCTCCCCTCCCCTTGGGTCCCAGTCAGGCCTCACCCCGAAGTTCCAGCTCCACCAGGCCGCTCTCGTCCTCCAGCCCGTCAATGACCTCACAGCGGTAGCGCCCGGAGTCCTCCAGCTGCAGGTCCCGGAGCTCCAGCGAGACTTGGCGTGCCTTGTCTTGCCGCAGGTGCACACGGCCTTGGTAGTCCCCGAAGGAGCGGTGCCTCTGTCCGATGGCCACCAGCACGTCCTGCTCTGGGGCCCCGTTCTCTGACAGCTTCCACCATTTGATACGCACAGGCCTCGGGGAGGCCAAGGCCGGCTCGTAGTGATAGTGGCAGGGCAGGGTCACACTAGCCCCTCGGTGGGTGAACAGAGGCTCCTCAGGCGTCTCCACCACCAGCCTTACCCCATTGAAGAGGCCTGGGAGAGAGGTGGGGCACACATGGCACCTACTGCATACATCACAGCCCAGCCAAGCTCACCCCACCCTCACCTCCAGCTCCCTGTAGGCGCAGGTGTGACAGGTTGCACACAGGGCCACCATGCTCCAGCCCTCCAATGACTTTGCATCTCCTTCCATCAAGAGAGGACATCTGTTCTCCCACCGCCTTGAATCTATACTGGTCTTGCCACTTGCTCGGAGCAAGTGGATGTGTTGGAAATGACAGTCCACTGTGCCCATCTGAGCCTAGGGCCCAGGGACCCTTGCTGCTTCCATCTTGCCTTGGGACTTTGTCAGCTATCTTGAGTCCCAGCCCAGCTTTGCTTGCTGGGACATGACAACACAGATAGCAGAGATGAGTCTCCCAGCTGGGGTCATTCCAGGCCAACCAGCTCTGAGCTGACCACCAGCCAGCAGCAGGTCACCTGCCAGTCTCAACTGCAAAACCAGGAGAAACGGAGTCCCAAGATGGACCCAAGCAGCACAGGCTCAAGAAATGACGATGTCTTATACCGACAAGTTTGGGGGTGATTCGTTCTGCATTAAAAGCTAGTTGACATAGTAAGTATCCAGAGCATGTGCAAAACAGGTATGACGACTCACGCCTATAATCCCAGCTACTCAGGAGGCCGAAATCAGAAGGATTGCAGTTCAAGGGCAGCCCAGGCAAAAAGTTCACGAGACCCCCATCTCAACCAATTGCTGGGTGCAATGGGGTGTGCCTGCTATTCCAAGCTACCTGGGAGGCTGACATCAGGAGGATTGAGGTTCCAGGCCAGCTGAGGTAAAAAAAGTTTTTGTGTGAGACCCTCATCTCCATAGAAAAAAACTGGGCCTGATGGCACACACCTGTCACCCCAGCTACTGTGGGAAGTCTAAAATAGGAGGCTTTCAGTCCAGGCTGGTCTGGGCAAAAAGCAAGACCCCGTCTCTAAAATAACCAGAGCAAAAAGGGTTAGAGGCGTGGCTCAAGTGGTAGAGCGCCTGCCTCACAAGTGTGAAGCCTGGAGTTCAAACCCCAGCACCGCCAAAAAAGAGCCTCTCCAAGTATGGATGCTTATAGTTCATGTCCCCAGCACAGGTCTCTCCCAGAGTCCCTTCTTTCTGTACTGGCCTGCAAATGGCTCAGCCTCTCCTGTGCTCTCTGGGCCAGCTGTCCCTCAGGGCCGGACTTCCGAAGGACCTAGCCACCCCAGCCAAGGCCAGACCTGACAGGAGACTATCCTTGGCACTCAGAGTCACAAATAACACAGAACCCAATGTGCAACCAAAACCCAGGCCGGTGGGCGGAGGCTGTCTCATTTTGAACATGGGATCCCCTTTAGGGGTACAGCACCTGTCATCTAAGAGTCTCCTGCCCAAGACCACCCAGCTAGTAAGAGACAGAATAATGACCGGGCCTTCCATCTATGTGTCCTCTCTCTGGGGATAACCAGAGAGTCACATTTTTTTTTAATTTTAATTTTTTTTTTGGTGGGACTGGGATTTGAACTCAGGGCTTCACACTCACAAAGCAGGTGTTCTCCCACTTGAGCCACATCTCCAGTCCATTTTTCTCTGGTTATTTGGAGTTGGGGGTCTCACAAACTATTTGCCTGGGCTGGCCTCAAACCATGATCCTCCCAATCTCAGCCTCTCAAGTAGCTAGGATTACAGGGGTGAGCCACTGACATCCAGCTCAGCAGAGTTGCATTTAAACTGGGTGAAAAACAGGCAGGATTTGGGGGAAGCCTAAAAAGTGTAAGTGATTGTCTGTCACTGAACCTGGCCCCATGTCTTAGAAGCAAGGCTGGTCTACCGCCTAGAGCCCAGAAGGCAAGAAGCTGCTGTCCCCCACCCCAGCCTAAGAACCTGCATATCCCAGTAGGTGGCAGGGGACCAGCCCAAGAGGCCTCCTACCTTCCCTGTGGCCTTTGCCTGGGTTTCTGCCAGGGGCACCATGGGCACCGTTGGAGTAGTAAAAGCCATTGTAGAAGGGCAGTCCAGAGACACAGGGCAGCGGGCACAGCAGCACAAGGAGCAGCAGGCCCATGGTGACACACACGGTGGCAGCTCCTGGGCGTCCTGGGCAAGGCTGGGCTTCTGGGGTAGCTGGACAGAGGAAGAAAACAAGGTAATTGCAGAAACCCCATTGCAGGGGGCTGCAACCCTCTGCTTAACCCCCACTCATTCAGTCACTCAACCATGCATCACAGAGCTCAGTCGGGGGTGTGGGGGTAGCAGAGAGTCGTGGCAGGCGGTCACAGCACTGTGAGGTGGGGACAAAGATGGAGACTGGTTGAAGACAGGAATTTTTGAGATGGAAACAGATAGGCTGGTTTTCCCAGCAAAGGACAGGGACAGGGCATGGAAGATGGGAGGGCTGGATGTTTGTCCCCTGGGCACTCCCAAGTCCCCTGCCTGCCCTTCTCTGCCATGCGTCCATCCCTCTGGGTCATTTGTCCTTGCTCCATGGCCCTCTGGCTTGCAGGTGGATTCAGCCAGTGGGAGGCACAAAAGGAGAAGGGCCAGAGGGAGCAGAGGGAAGATGGGTGCTGGGCCCTGTCCCACTCCACTCAGTGCCTCACCCATAGTGGCCACTGGTGCTGGCCTACACCCCCAGGTTCCTCATCTGGTCCCTGCACCCTCCTCTCAGATGCCATCCCTTCATTAAAGTGTCCCCATTGGAGCCGTCAGGACTGAAGCCCACCTGGCTGATATGGGGAAGGGGCAATGGTGGAGTCTGGATGTCTTGGGGTGCGCCTGGCTACCTGCCCTTTGCCCCAAGGGTCCCAGGGTGCCGGTGATGGCAGAGGAGCCCGGGATCAGACACATCTTAGAAGCATGACTCTGGGGACAGGTGGAAGGCCAAGCACGGGCCAGCAAGGGCAGAGGGTCAGCCGGCATTTGCAGTGTGATGGTTATCCCGGAGCGACATGGAGGGAGGCAGGGGTGTTTTTTTCTTTTCTTTTCCTTTTTTGTCTGTAGTGGGACTGGGGTTTGAATTCAGGTGCTCTACCACTTGAACCATCCTGCCAGCCTATTTTTGTGATGGCTTTTTTTCAAGGTACGGTCTCAAGAAGTATTTGCCCAGTTTGGCTTCCAACTGAGATCCTCCTGATCTCTGCCTCCTGAGTAGCTGGGATTACAGGCGTGAGCCACCAGTGTCTGGCTAGGAGGTGTCATTTAAAGTGGGCAAAGCACAACATGCGGTGATTGCAAGCAGGTTGTCTTAAGGATGCCTGGGGACAGAACACCAAAAGGAAAGAGGGAGAAGGCGATGGGGGGGTGGGTCCTGAACAGTGAGGAGCTCCCGCTGGAAGGCAGCATGGACGTGGGGGAAGCAGAGAGTTACTCTGTCACTCCCTCAGATATCTCTGCGGTAATCCAGAGGCCCACACTTGCCGTGGTGTGGGTTGGAAGACCTCAGTTCAAGGCTGGCCCCAAGCAAAAAGGAAAGAAAACACTGCAGAACCTTCCTGAAAAATAAAACTAAAAAGGGCTGGAGGCATGGCTCAAGTGGTTCTGCACCTGCCTAGCAAGCACAAGGCCCTGAATTCAAACCCCGGCATTACCAAAAAAAATTATCATGTAAATAGCTGTTATTCTGTTCACCTCCCATGTAGCTGGGGTGATAGCCGCAAGCCACCACATCTAGCTTATTGATTGAGATGGGGTCTCGATAACTTTTTGTCCAGGCTGGTCTCAAACCCTGATCCTCCCCATCTCCATCGCCCAAGTAGCTGGGATTACAGATGTGAGCCACCACACCAAGCCTTCAATAATTTTTTTTAATTCAGGGCTATATGTTCTCAATGTCTTCTGATTCCTAATTTTATCAGAAAGCCTAGTATTAAAATTTTCTTGTGCAGCTGTCCATCATGCAGACATTCCTCTTTCACCAACTTTGCGTCCTTTTTTTTCTTTTCATTTAGTTTTTTTATTTTTTGGTGCTGGAGATAGAACCCAGGACCTTGCTCATTCCGGGCAAGCGTGACAGTTTGAATAACGACAGTTTGGAGAATTCTGGCTGGCAGGAAGGTCACGTTGTCCAAATCTATTTGGTTCATAAGCTTTGGACAGTGACAAGCAAGAGTGTGGACGTGTGACTGTTTGAGCATGACTCATGTTGAATACTTGGTCCCCAGCTGGTGGCTCTATCTGGAAGGTGGTAGGAACAGGCAATGGGGCCTGGCTGGAGGAAATCAGTCACTGGGGCTGCGCCTTTGAAGGTCATATCTGGTGGCTGGTCCTTTCCTCTCCCTCTACTTCCTGTCCACCATGAAGTAAGCAGCCTCCTTCCTCCACACTCCCGCCACCAAGATGCTCGCCAAGGACTACAGACTGCGGCTGAGAGACACTTCCTTTATGGTAAGGGACGCATACGCTGAATTGCTTGACATTTACATACTGGGGAAAAGTGACTTCTGAACCAAGGCAATTCCACGCTACACCCGTCTTGTTCCCTGTCACTCTTGCAATCCCCGAGGAGGTCAGCCATGATCCAGAAACATATACCAGGCAGAGCAGACTAGAACCTGCACTTCTTCAGCAAGCTCTGTCCCCCAGAGCCACAGAGCATGAGGCTCCAAGGCACCCCTTCTCAGGCTCACAGGCCCAACCTCCAGCGGGGGCCCCACTTGCTCCATGATTCTTCTTTTTTTTTTTTGGTGGCACTGGAGTTTGAACTCAGAGCTTCCCACTTGCTGGGCAGGCGATCTACCACTTGAACCGCTCCACCAGACCTTTTTCGTGATGGGTTTTTTTCGAGATAGGGTCTCGCGAACTATTTGCTTGGGCTGGCTTCAAACCAGGATCTTCCTGATCTCTGCCTCCTGAGTAGCTAGGATTACAGGCGTGAGCCGCCAATGCCTGGCTCCGTGATTCTTAAAGGGCTTCTATGTCTAACAGCTCCCATGATCTTCCCAAGAGCCCCACCCCATTATCAGCAAGGGGAATTCTGTTCTCACCAATCAATCCACAAAGCGAAAACCAGCACAGAGATGTGGAGCAACCATCCAAGGTCACACAGGAAGGAAACCATAGAGGCAGGACTCTGTTGTTTTCAGCCAGTCCCCATAATGATCTGTCATATTTCAAGGCTGTCCCCTCTGATAGTCAACGCTCTTTCACAGACATTGTCTAGGCAAGGAGGCTGAGGTCCAGAAATGCTAGCGTTACTCAGTAGATAATTTGACCTCATTCTCCCAACAAACACTTATCCTGCAGCCACCCTGTGTCAGGCCCAGTTTTGGGCGTTGGGGATACAAAGCAGATGTCCTCATGGAGTTCACAGTCTAGTGAGAGAGGCAGCAATAGACACGATGTGTGACAAAGCTGATGTAAAAGTGATGCATGTGACTGAGGAAGACGAAATGGGGGACGGGGAGTGCCTCAAGTCAGCGAATCAGGAAGGCCCCCCAAGAAAGGAATAAGGAAGACTGGAGCCCTGCATGCTGGGAGGAGAGCATTCCAGGGAGGCACAGAACTTTGGTAGGAAGACTTCTGAGGCCAGTGAGGGCAGCAAGGGGGGAGGGGCGAAGTGATGGCCAAGGGGCCAGAGGTCCCTTGGACTTTGTTCTAAGAAGGGAAGATGCTGAAGTCTAGAAGGTTTGTGCCAAGCTGTGCATGTTGATGCATGTCTGTAATGCCAGCACTCAGGAGATGGAGGCAGGAGGCAGGCCAGCCTTAGCTACGCAGGGAAATTAAGGCCACCCTGGGCTACATACGTAGCATGACTGTCTCAAAAAAACAAAGCAAAATGTTAATGTCTTTAACCTCTAATCCTGTCCGCTCCTTACTAAGCTATGAAGAACCTCAGTTCTGGCCGGGCACGGGGGTCACACCAGTAATCCCAGGGGCAGAGATGGGGAGGATAACGGTTCAAAGCCAGTCCAAGCAAAAAGTTAGGGAGATCCCATCTCACTCAATTAAAAGCTGGTAGCGGTGGCACATGCCTGTCATCCCAGCTATACAATAGGAGGATCGACGTTCATGGGGAAAAACATGAGCCCCTATTTGAAAAATAACTAAAGCAGAAGAACTCGGTGGGAGACCACCTGCCTAGCAAGCGTGAAGACCAGAGTTTAAATCTCAGTATCACCAAAAATAGAAAGATAAAAACAGAACCTGAAGCCGGGTGCCTGTGGCTCACACATGTAATCTTAGATACTTGGGAGGCTGAGATTGGGAGGATCACAGTTCAAGGCCAGCCAGGGCAAATAGTTCAAGAGACCCCCCCCATCTCCAAAATAACCAGAGCAAAATAAACTGAAGGTGTGGCTCAAGGAGTAGAGCACCTGCCTTGCAAGCACAAAGCCGTGAGTTCAAATCCCAGTCCCACCAAAATAAAAAGAAGAACCTGAGTTGTCTTCATTGCTTTTGGCCTCTCGCCACTCTGGCACCCACCTTGGTTTCTTAGCATTACTTTGAGTGGAAAGTGGGATGCTAACCCAGCAGCCATGGGGAGGTGCCACGAAAAAGAGGAAGAAAAGATGAGCCCTGGGCCCAGGGGCACAACTTGGGGGAAGCAGCTCTCCTTCCTCCTCCTGCCTTCCTTAAGAGTGAGTTTGGATCCAGGCTCTGCCTCCTGCTGGGTGACCCTGGACAGGGCTTTGATTCTCTGAACAGAAGATGCCTTCTCTCCTGGGCAGAAATGGCAGAGGTAGGGAGGCTTAGGGGCTGAGGACAAGGACAGCTCAGGTGCTAGGTTGAGTCCTGGGTGGAATTTGCGAGTAAGTGCCCCCAGCCCGGCCCTGACCACTTCCACTAAGGGGAGAGATTGACAGCCTCCTGTCCCCGCCACCCCTCAGGTCCACCAGAGAGGTGCGGCCAGCTGAAAGATCCAAGACCAAGTCCAACCCAGTCACCTCGCCAGTGGGTGGCTGCCCAAATCAGCTGGAGCCTTGCCTGGGCACCCAGATCTGGGCTGGGTGTAAGAGCGGACACACCTGCATCCTGCTGAGTGACTTTGGGCAAGTTACTCTACCTTTCTGTGTCTCCATTGTTTCATCTATTAAAAAAAAAAAAAGCCGGGTGTGGTGGCACAGGCTGTAATGCCAGCACTCGGGAGGCTGAAGCAGGAGGATACAAGTTCAAAGCCAGCCTGGACTACGTAAACTGTGTCTCAAAAAGGAAGAAGGGAGGGAGGAAGGGAGGGAGGAAGAAGGGAAGGAGGAAAAGGGGAGGAGGAGGGGAGGAGGAGGAGAGGGAAGATCTTAGCAGCAGCTCCCTGAAGTGATGCCCTGAGGCTTCTTTCCCTCTAGTCCCTGATACTCAGCCTTACTCAACAAATACAGCTCAGCAGAAGCACATAAAGCCAAGCTCTGGACTCTAGAACCCCCTGGTTACCTGGCTTCCCTGGCTCCACCCACTGACTAACAGCCTGTCATTGGCCAAGTCACGGGGAAACTGAGCCTCAATTTCTTCATCTGTGAAATGGAGCATCACAGCCATACCCAGAACACTGCCTGATGGCACTGGGTCAACACCGCTGCTATTCCTGTTGCTAGCAGTTGAGGGAGGGGAGGGGGTCACACCCTCACTGTGCCACCCTCAGGCACAAGCAGAGGGCAGAATTGCCCCCAGGTCCCCCGGTCAGCCCAATTTGACATCAGTGTCCCTGCTTTAGACAGGCTTTGAACTCAGCCGTCCCCATCGCCGCCCTGGCTGCAGAGGGCGCAGCCACTGGTGGGGCCAGCGCTGGAGATCGGGGGTCCAGGCAGGGTCACAGACCGCCGGCGGCCACCCAGAACTGCTGGCCGGACAGGGTCCAGGCGACAGCAATGACTCCTTCTTGACCTAAATTCCTCCCCGGCTCCCACCAGGGGCTCTGCCCTCGCCCTCCCTGCCCCTTCTCGCTGTCCTTAGTGCGGGGGACCCTAGTGGCACCTAGGCGTCCGGCCCGCGGTGGCCGCAGGTTGTCCCCACCCGTCCCCCCTTCCCCCTGAGTCCCCGCAGCGTCGCGCAGGGCAGAGCTGGACACGCCGCGCTGGCGGAGGCAGCAGGACCGGGGCGGGATGGACGCGAAGGAATCGGACCGGGGCTGGGACCGGGCGGTGGTCCCGGAGGCCGCGGGGTTCGCTCGGGCTTTGCCTCCTCGTGGCGCACACCAGGGTCCCGCGCCCCACCGGAGACCGGGGCGTCCCCCCGCCACTGGCGATCGCCACCCGGGTCACTGGCCATCGCCACCCGGGTCACTGGCCATCGCCACCCAGGTCTGCCCGGACCCCCCCGCAGTACCCAGCTCCCTCTCTCTATGTCCCTGTCCCCTGTCCCCTGTCCCCTGTGCCCGAAGCGTGGGGTCCTGCAAGAGACCCAAAGCCCGAAGGGAGGGACCGCCCGCCCAGGTGGCCCAGGAACGCGGCCACTCCCGAACCACGCACCGTCCCCAGCCGGCTCCTCGGGCTCACGCGCTGGTCCCTGGTCCCCGTCCCGGCAGCAGGAGGATTTCGGGGATCCTGAATGGCCCGAAAGGAAGCTGCAGCGGACAAACCCCCGCGCTGCACTCCCGCCCGGCCAGCCCCTTAAAGGAACAACGCCCCTTTCCCTCCCAAAGGCCCCCCCGCACCCCCCCAGGGAGGAGCTGCTGCGGGATGGAGCAGCCTTCAGGCGTCCTGGGGGTCACCCCCAAACCGGGAGCTCCTGGCTGAGCTGTGAAGGGAGTGTGCAGGAATTGGGGGCAGAGGAAAGAGGAATTGGAAGAGGAACTTGAAGAGGTGGGGAGGGTGTCTGGTAAAAACTAAATTTACCAAACAGCGGGACTAAGCAGTCCCTCTCAAGACCCCTCTCCGCGTGGGCTATGGTTGTCCCTCACTCTGAGGAGGTCTTTTGTTTTGTTGCTTTTGGTGGCACTGGGGTTTGAACTCAGGGCCTCACGTTTGTCACTTCACCAGCCCTTTTTTGGTGATGGGTTGTTTCATAGGGTCCTGAGAACTATTTGCCTGGGTTGGCCTCAAACTGCCATCCTCCTTCCTGATCTCTGCCTCCTGAGTAGCTAGGATTGTAGGTGTGAGCCATGGGTGCCCAGCAGGTAGTTGGGAGTTCTGTGTGTCTGCTCCCCATGGAAAGCACTGGGTAGTGACCTCCTTGTGCCCTGAGTCTGGCCATGGTGAAATGGCCACCCAGGCTGATAACTCAGAATCAGGCACCTAGGAGATGCTGCCCTAGGAGGTAAGGCTTGAGTGGCCCTGGGGTGGGTGAGGCAGGACAGACTGGGTGCTCCCAGCAGCCCACCGGGACCACAGCCTTCTGACTGGCCCTCCAACAGAGGTGGGGCCCTCCGTCAGGACTCCTGGCATTTGTCTGCACAGCCACCAGGCAGCCGTCTCTCAGGATGCCTCTGTTTGGACAGGGTGTTTTCTTTCCTGTCCATACCAACAGGGGCCCTGGCCTTGAGGGCCTCGTGTTTCCTCAGCAGAGAAACCTGAGGTCCTTTGGCCTTGGTTGAGAGAAGGGTCGCAGGGTCACAGAGCCCAGAGCCTCTGCCTAAACTCTCCTCCACAATGCCTGTGCCTGTGTCTGTCTGGCGCAATCACACACAGCCGGGAGCAAATCAGAGCACCTAAAGTGAATGCCAGGCTGATGAGCAAAGGGGAACCCATGGAGTTGGTTCTCTGCCAGGAGGAGGTGCAGCAGAGTGCACAGGAGAAATAAACAGGACCCGAGACCAATCAGGAAATGCTCGTGAGCTCTCTGAAGATGCTGGCCAGTTCGAGGCCTCTGATGGCCCAGACCGTGCCTCAGTGCATCTTCTGCATGGAGTTGGTCTCACTGTTCCACTCTACAGAGGCCCAGAGAGTTTATGGACATCGCCCAAGGCCGCCCAGAGCCAGGATTTGAACCTGGGTTATCTGACTTGAGAACTTGAATCCTAATCACCCCACTATATTTAAACCAGGAACAGAAAGGAGCCTAGAGCCCTGGGAGAGCAGGATAGGTCCCAACACAACAGCCTCAGGTGGTGGTGGGAATAGCAGGAAGGGTCCATTTGTGGCATACAGTAAAGCATTATTTAACCAGGCGAGCCAGAAGCAGGGTGGCCAGGACTGGAGTCAGGACAATTTGGGGAAGTGATGATAAAACCTTGGAAGTGGGGAAGACTGCCCAGGGAGGAGCCAAAGTGAGGGGGTCCTCTCCAGGGACCCAGGAAAGTCTTTCAGAAGGCTGTGGCCAGCCCATCCAAGGTTACAAAGATGAGAAGGGACCGAGAGATGGCTTGGATCACCAGTCACCGAAGTGTCCTGGGCTGGGTGAGGGCCTTGTGACCAGTCCACACATATGGCAGTGAGGCAGTTACCCCTTCTGTGGGGATTCCTGGATCTGGAGGCAGAACCACATCAAGCAGCACACTGGGAAGGATGCTCCCTGTCTGCTGGTGGGGGAGGGCGGCCTGGGGCCAGAAGCTCCCAGAAAGACAACTCCAAGCCCAATCCACCGGACACAGGAGTGAGCACAGGTACCCACAGGGGCGAAAGAACTCCAGCACCCCTCTCTCCTATGGAGACCATGGATAGGCCTTTTACAGTCCCTCTCCAGCCAGAAGCCCTGGCAACAGGCAGCTTTCAGGAAGCAGGACTTCCAGACCTGCTGCTGGAACACTGATGCACTTCCAGCCAAGCCCCGCCCTCCCTTTGGCAGCCATGTGGGTGACCTCCTGCTGCCCAGTGCCTCTGTCATCAGTGTGGCTCCCACGGTTGGTCAGGAGGATTCATCTTTAAAACTAGGGTGATTCAGCCCTGTACAGGAGGGCAGAAAGGAGACCCCTTTCCTCCCAACCCTGAAATACACAGGCCAGCTGCCACCCAGGAACCAGTCCCACTTGGCAGTGTCTGGCTTCCTAGCCTGCCACATTGCTCCCGCCCCCACCACCACCACCACCACCACGAGGGGCCTCCTGAGGTTCTGAATCAAACCAGGGTCTCTGGGTTTCTGAGAGCTCCCCCAGCCCCAGCTCCTCTTGCAGAGAAAATGGAATTGCTGAAGGATAAAGCAGCAGCGGGCCTGGCCTCCCTTCCTGGTGTGGGAAGGGAGCAGAAGTATTTTCCAGAACGGCTGGCATCTGTGCCAGGCCCTCCCTGGCCCCTCACCAGGTGGCAGCTGCAGGCCCCCAGGGCCAGTGGGGTATGGAAGTGGAGACAAGGAAGAGGTGGTCAGGCTTCTAGACTGGACCCCCCTTCCCACCAATCCCTCCACCATGGGACCCTCCCCCCATGGTCTCCTCCCTCTGAAGTTGAGCTATTTGCAGTCAGGCAGGCCACACAAGGAAGCTGGGCTCAGGGGCACTGGGTAAGAGTAGGGGACCGGTATCCCCTAATCCAATTTGAAAGCACAGTAACCACACACGGAGTTCCAGTGGGGGATACAAATATATTTTGGAGGGTGCCTGTGTACTCGGGTGGAGAGGCAGCTCAGAGGCCCAGCACCCATCTGGCCAGCCCACCTCTTTCCTACTTCCCCCATCTCTCCACAGCCCAACTGCCCCTTCCTTCTTCCTCGGCTTCAGGGCAAGGGTCAAGGGGTCTGTGGAGATAAGGAACAGCATCTGTTCCTTATCATTATCACCGGTCTGGCGCCTTGGGTTCTCCTCCAGGGATGTGGTAATGTGGTGTGTGAAGAGGGGCTGGGGAGACCAGAGGCCCCTCTGGAGCCAACCCAGGGAGTCAGGGATCTGGAGATGTGCGGGGATCCCTGCCCTATCCATCCCAGACATACCCGGTCCCCCTGGTGCAACTGCAGGAGGGGTGGCCTGGGGGGGGTGGCAAGGTGGGAAGGCTATGGCCCTGTGGCACCAACCCTGAAGCCCTCTCCCCACTCTGGCCCCCGGCCCCACTGCAATTGGGAGTGAGAGCTGAGGAGGCAGCAGGCCACAGAAGGCAGCGGGCCGGGAGAGAGGCAGGTGACCCCTCGCCTCACAGCCCTTCTGGTCACTTTGGTCCCCTGGGCGTACACTTCTAGCAGCCCAGCAGCTCCATCCGCAAGGTGATACGGTTGTGCCAGGCCACGGGCAGGATGCGCACGAAGCGGGTGAAGATGGGTGTCTCCAGAATGTTCTCCTTGTGGGAGTTGTTGTCTGAGTTGCCACGGAAGACCTGGAGGCAAAGGACACGTCAGGAGGTCCCCAGAGTCCTGGGTCACCCAGGGAGCGGTAAGGAGAGGTCAGACAGACAGACGCCGCCCACCTTGCTTTCGCTGGCCCCATTTTCTTTGTACTCTGTCCAGTGCACACCGTCAGGACTATAGGCCATCTTGTAAGCTGCTATGTACTGGACATGGCCAAACTCACGAGCCCCCTGAGTGACGATACCTGTCACCTGCTTCTTCGAGCCCAGGTCAATCTGTAAAGAAATCACCCAGGTTACCTTTGCTCGGACCTGGCCCCAGGGATGTCTGGGACATGACCTGGAGGAAAGCTACTTTATTCAATTTAGCCTTAGTTTCTTCATCTATAAAACAGACATAAAAGCCCAGAATGGTGGTGCTCGTCTGTAATCCCAGCAGTTGAGAGGCTGAGGCAGGGAGGATCTCCAGTTCAAGGCCAGCCTGAGTTACAAGGTGAGGGCCCCTCGTCTCAAAAAAAAAACCAAGCACTGTCAGGGGTAGAATCTTTCCTAGCAAGGCCCTGGGTTTGATCTCCAGCACCGCCAAAAAAAAGTAAATGAATCAAAGTTTTAAATTAAAAATAAAACAAGTGCTGGAGTGGCTCAAGTGGCAGAGCATCTGCCTAGCAAGTGTGAGGCCCTGAGTTCAAAGCCCAGTACTGCCCAAAAAAAGATAAAAATAAAATTAATAAAACAAGCAAAAATAACACCACCCATTCTGCCGCACGCTGTCACTGTAGTAAACCTTGGCCATTCTGTGCCACCCTGGCCTCACATGTGCACCTGGGTTTGACGGCGACAAGGACAAGGAAGCCACAGCCTGTGGGGCCCAGACTGCTTCTGTGGGTGCTGCAGAGTTGCCCGCAGCCTCACATTAGTCGCAAGGGGGTCCAAGGTTAGCCAGCAAATCCAGGGACCCAATTCCACATCTAGAGACAGACACCTGCCCCTGCCCTGGGACAGCAGACCCAGATCCACGCTGCAAACCCAGCTCACTGCCAACCATCTAGGCAAACTGCCAAGACTCAGTTTCCCTGTCTGTAAAACAAGCTCTGAGCCAGGTGCCAGTGGCTCACACCTGTAATCCCAGTCACTCAGGAGGCAGAGATCAGGAGGATCGAGGTTCAAAGCCACCTGGACAAATAGTACGTGAGCCCCTACCTCAAAAAAACCATCACGAAAAATGGCTGGTGGAGTGGCTCAAGGTGTAGGTCCTGAGTTCAAGTCCCAGTATTGAAAAAAAAGAAAAAGCTCTGGTTTTCTACCCCTCTGCTACATTTCTCTGCTGAGAGTCAGAGAACACAGCTCTGTGCAGAGGTCCAGAGACACCCAGCTCGGGGGTCTCTCCGTCCTGCCCTGCCGTCCACCCTGTGGCAGCCCATGGGAGCAGCTCTACCCCCCCACACATGATCTTCCTCCACAGGGGTCCTCGGGCAGCAGGATCAAGAGGAAAAACGAGGCAAGCAATGAACACAGGCTTTTCTGGGGCTCCCTCAGGGGACAGGGGACAGAGCCGGGGCTGGGCAGAGGTCACAGCTCTGGCCCCACCTGACCCACCTGCAGCCACTCGGAGGCATTGTTGCTCTGGGCCGTCCAGGCGTTGAACGTGCCCTGCCTGTCCAGCCGCGCGAAGAAGGGGTGCCAGCTGAAGGCTTGCACACCCCAGGTCTTATGGAAGCTGGAGGCCGTGATGCTCTTGTCAGGGATGCTGTAGTTCCTCAGACCCAGGAAATCGGAACATCCTGCAAAGACGGGGACTGTCACACGACCTGGGACCCCCAGATCCCAGCAGCCAGGGCTCTGAATCCTGGCCTGCCCCTGACACCCTGTTTTGTTATGGTTGCTCAAGCTGGCCTTGAACTCCTAGGCACACTCCATCTTTCTATCCAAATTCCCCATGCAGCTTGCACTACAGGCATGTGCCACCACACCCAGCCTGGCATTGTCTTGGACAAAAGGAAAACGCTCCATCAGCTTTCCAGGGCCAATAACTACTGCCTTGTCCCTGCTCTCCCCTTACCAGACCCCTGACCACCCAAGACACCTCCTCCCCAACAGCCACGGCTCTTTCCCTCCAGCACTGTCACCCTCCCTTCAACACGACTCATACATACAACACCTCCTCCAAGAGGCCTGCCTTGACCACCTCTGTTGGCCAGAGGTCTCCTTCGTCTGAATTTATAAAACTCTCTCCCTTGCTCCTCTCCGTGGCTACTCTCAGAACCACTGGAATCTGGGATCATTGTGGAGAGCATTAAGCCAGCCACAGAGTTTCCCCAGAGCTTACTTCCATCACGAACTCACAGGAGCCACAGAAAACCCTGAATGGAGCCGTTATCAGCAAACCCATTCTACAGATGAGAAAACTGAGGCCGAGAGGCATAGCACATGTGTGCAAGACACACACACACACACACACACACACACCACCAACTGTGACATCATCTCCCCCAGGCCTGCACTCCACCAGGACCAGCGCAGCCCTGTGTTAGGGAACTCCTGGGACTCCCCCTTAGTAGCAGAGAGACATTTCTGGGGTGCTGCCACTCAGCCTGGAGAGCTCACTAGCAGGGACAGTGAGGGTCACCTCGCTCGGACCCACCCTGAGAGCTCAGGAATGCATGGGCTGTTTGCATTCACGTCTGGACCTGTGCATGGCCACCCCAGATAGGGTGGGGCAGGAGGTAAAAGTCTCAGAAGAATGACGGGTGTGTCTCGCACCTGGCTGGGTCTGCATCCTACAACTGGCTCTCCCTTGGGGAGTTGAGAGGAGGGGCAGGGGCCTGGAGAGCCTGGCTTCCATCTGGGAAGTGCTTTACCTTGTTATCTCTGCCTCTCAAGCATGCTGAGGCTGCTGCAGACACTGCCATTGCCTCCACCATCACCTGGTGAGGACGGAACAGCAAGCAACCACCTCCCTCCTCCCTCAGGCTCCTGGGCTGGAGTCCTTTGTGTCCAGGACAGGGGGACCTAAGGCAGGCCACTGCTGGGGATCTTTGCAGACAGCACCTGTTCTGCATCATTTGCTGAGGTTGGACCTGTGTACAGAGGACCTGCTGCTAGCAGTCCATGTCCACTTCCCTCTGGCCTCCCCAGGAAGGCAGGCAGAATGTGGGGGGGGAGGGACTGGGCAGCTCCATCACACACCACGTGACCCTTCCCTTGGCAGGCCTCAGCCTGCATCCGTACGCTGAGGCTCATAAACCACTGGGGATCTTAGTAACAGATTCTGGCTGGATGTGGTGATGCATGCCTATAATCCCAGCTGGGGCAGGAGGGTCGTGAGTTTGAGGTCAGCTTGGGCTACATGGTGAGCCCCTCCTTAAAGATCAAAAAAAGTCAGGCTCACACCATCAATCCTAGGTACTCAGGATCTAGAGACTGAGAGGTTCTCGGTTCGAGGCCAGCCTGGGCAAAAAGTTCAAGAGACCCCGCCCCCCATCTCAACGAATAAAAGTCGGGTGTGGTGGTATCGGCCTGTCCAGCTACACTGGGAAACACAGGAAGTTGGCGGTTCCGGCCATAAAACAGCAAGACCCTAAAGGAAAATTACTTAAAGCAAAAAGGGCTGGGGTATAGCTCAAGTGGAAGAGCGCCTGCGTGGCAGTGCAAGGCCCTGAGTTCAAAGCCCAGTACTGTGGGGGGGTGGGGCAGAGGAGGGGCGGAATTCTGTTCTGGGGCCTGGCATGCAACAAGCCCTGCGCTCAATCCCCATCGCCACAAAAAAAAAAAAGAAAAACATTCTGTTGTAGCAGGCCTAGGTAGCCTACCATGACACAGATACTGCTGGTCCATGTGCTCACAGTCCACCAAGCCACCCTGCACACTCTAGGCTCCAGCTCCGTGGCCTTTTTTCCATCCTTCAACATGCCCCAGGGCCTTTGCACTTGCCAGTTCCTAACCTGAATGGCTCTTTCCAAGATTTTCATAGTCATTCAAGCCTCTACTCAGAGGGCAACCCACACCACAACCCTGAGCTGCCTCTCCCCTCCACTGTTTGCTTCAGACTTTCTTGGAGTTCTCTGACCTGTTTTTCTCCAGTACACTTTTTTGGGGGAGGGCAGTACTGGGATTTCAACTCAAGGCCTCATGGTTGCAAAGCAAGCACTCTACCACTTGAGCCAACAGACCCCTGACCTTTCTTTTATTTGCTCCTTTATCTGGAGCAAATTCCGTGAGGTCAAAGGTCTCTGTTGCATCGCTCCTGGGGCCAGTATCCAGGGCACGCTTAGTCAGTGTCATCGAGTTAGAGCTAATCAAGTCCCCACGGACACTGCCTGTACATTCCCAGAGACACTACCCTCAGCTCCAACCACACGTGTGCGCACACACACACACACTCTCCAGCCCCTGGGAAGCCTGCAGGAGAAGACGTGGGTGGGTCAACAGGCAGCCCTGCCTCCTCCCCAGGGAGGCCCCCCTCTCCAGGGGCCTAAAGCCTGAACCATCTGTGAGACATCAAAGGCCTCAGGCTCAGGCTAAGACTAGAGGGCTGAAGGACTCCCACTCCGGCGAGTTTTCCTTTGAGCAGAAAGCAGTTTCCTGCTCCCCACTTCAATGGCATGGAGTAAAAGACAGTTTTAAAGTACCAGGGAACACACAGAAGCCTCGACCAGCTCAAGTCTGTATTTAAAAAAAGAAAAAACAGGGCTGCGGGGGAGCTCAGTGGTGGGGCACTTGCCTAGCAATCCAGAAGCCCTGGGTTCCATCACTAACACTGAGAGAGAGAGAGAGAGACAGATTAGACAGAGAAAGACAGACAGAGAGAAGGCCCAGCAAGGTACAGAACCCAGCTGGGTTGTTCTGCAGTAAAATGACAAGAAGAGGTGACAACTGGGCACAGTGGCTCACGCCTGTAATCCCAGCTACTCAGGAGGCAGAGATCAGGAGAATCATGGTTCAAAACCAACCCGGGCAAATAGTTCATGAGACCTTATCTCAAAAATACCCATCACAAAAAAAGGGATTCCAGAGTGACTCAAGGTGTAGGCCCTGAGTTCAAACCCCAGCACTGCAAAAAAGAAAAAAGAAGAGGTGACACAGAGGGGACGGGAGGGGAGCAGGAGTGCAGGTCTCTGTAGGACAAGAAAGGAAGGCAGTGAGGCCACCCAGGCTCTGCAGCTCTGCCCTGAGAGCGCTACAGTGCCCCTGCCTGGCCAGCAGGTGGCACTGTGGCTGCAAAGAGAGAACAAAAAGTGCCACTGAGCTGGGCTGAGACCAAACAGTGCACCCCGATTTCCCTGCTCAGCAGAAACCTGCCCCCCAAACATTTCTGGTCCCCCACACCTCCATACAGAATCTCTCTGGGGAGGGCAGCAGGAAGCACCAGATCCAAGCCCTCAGGACCTAACAGCGCCCATGTTTCCAGGAGGATGGGGGAGCCAGGTCAGAGCCCAGAGGTCAAGGGCAAGCTTTACGCTTTCCAGCTGTGCATCTTTGATAAATGGGGGATAAAATTCATTCATTCTCCCCTCATTAAAGAGCTATCAAGCACCTATGTGTTCCAGCCCCAGTGAGCAAGACGGACAAATTCTCCTGCAGAGCTCACAGCTGCAAATCAGTTAATGTTACTTGTTCTAGAAGCTCCACAAAGCAACCCGAAGGAGTGCAAACACTTTTTTTCCACCAGCCAGAGGCCCAGATGACAGACAGACAGGCAGGCAGCGCGCCCTGGGGCAGGACTGGGGAGGGGCAGGCGGTCCCTGTGGTGTGATGTGCGTCTGTCTCTGCATGACCAGGTCCCTGGGCCACACTGCTGCCCCTCGGCAGCTCCAGGAGAGGTGCGGGGAAGACAGACTGACACTCCCAGGACTCACCGTCCAAATCACAGCCAATGAGCTCCAAGCGGAGGGCGCAGCCACGGTAGGAGCAGGTCTTGGGGTACACCCTCACGTACTGCGTCTCCAGTGGGGAGTCAAACATGTTGGACCTCACGCTTTTACTGTCCCAATTACCCTCGAACACCTAGGTGGGAAGGAGCCAGCTGGAGGGGCGGCTGGGTGGGCCCAGTCCCCCTTCCTGGAGCTGCTTCTTCAGGCCCAGTGTGGGGGTACACCCAAGGCTGGGACAGGGAGGACTCAGCACAGCCAGCAGTGGCTCAGGCCCAGCCCTTCCTCCTCAGGTCACCCCACAGCCCCCAACACCAGTCCTCCTTTGCACACCTCCTTCGGTTATCATAGGACCAGCCTGACAGACACCTGTCTTTTACCCAGAGCTGTGCACAGTAGGAAAAAACACTCCTTTCTCAAGACACTCAGGACAACTTTCTGGCAGATAAAACTGTACAGGGTCTATACTGTGAACTGAGCCCACTTAGTAATCACACCCTTGAGTCATGTACAACCTGTACAACCGTACATGGTGCGTCTGAAGACTCAGACTGAAACCTGCAAGAATCACCCCCAATAGGACAATACGCCACTTTCAGTCTCTCTTGTCATCTATAAGGTGGGGCTATTACCTGTAATCACAATCTGAGACTTTCAATTTCTCAAAACCAAGATGCACCTGCAGACTCACCTCATGGCCAATAATCACCCAGAGCGCTCTAGTCTCGTTGGGGGCCCTCGGCCAGTGCCAACGCCCTAAGGGGTGCAGACCTAGTCCTTCCCCAGGACCCCAGAAGGTCCCACCTTGTCTCCAGACCCCTCCATATCCTGGATGAACTGGAATTTGTGTCCATCAGAGCTGTAGGCCACCCTGAAGGTCTTGACGTACACGGCAAACCCTGCGTGGCTGGCACCCTGTGTCATCAAACCAGACACCAACATCTTCCTCCGCAGGTTCACCTGGAGCCGGGGCAAGGAAAATGGTTTCCTCCTCTTCTGTGTTTTTTCACCCAGGATAAAGGCCCTCTTCTTTCCCCACCCAGAACCAAGGAGGCACACACTGCCCTTTGCGGGGGGCTCTCTCCTCCAGGCTAGGACCCCCAGAGACCTCATGGGGTGCAAACAGCCCCTGCACATGTGGGGCTGCCTACCTGGCCTCCCCTTATATACAGATGCTACCTCCACAGCCCCACCACAGCCATATTCACCTCACCCTCTCCCTCATCTCCTGCCCTGGGGTCCCATCCTCTCCATACCTGGATCCAGGACTTCCTGTCGTAGCTGCTGGGTGACCAGGCGTTGACAATGCCTGTGAGGTGCAGGCGGGCCAGCTCCGGAGTCCAGCGCTGTAAACCCAGGAAGCCCACGTGCAGAGACGAGGCTGAGATCTGTGAGTCTTCAATGGCGCCCCCCATCAGGCCCAGCATCCTGATGCAGCCTGCAAGGGAAGGTCACCTCATGAGCTGCAGGGCCCAGCTGCAACCAGAGGGCAAGGGAAGACAGCGTGGCCTCTGCGGAGGACCCAAAGCGAGAGAGAACCTCAGACCCTCACTCGGAGCAGAGACCACAGAGTGACAATGAGGACACAGCCCAGAAGAATGGAGACAAGGGTATCCAGTGAGGCAAGGGGGGAAGAACAGGACACTGGAGTCCCAGCAAGACCCAGGTTGGGGACGTTTTTCAGGAGAAGACCCTGACCGGCAGGTGGTCCTTTTCTTACAGGTGTAGGGACTGGTAGGAGAGAAGACCAGGGCGACCTTGACATCCCCAGGTGGCTTTGGGAGTAGTACCTGGACAATACTGAACAGTAGCACTTACAAAGCAGAAAGCCGGCCTGGAGTGTTCTAGAATTCACTAGCAGAAGTTAATCCCATTCTGTCTTCCTTGTACCCCCTGTACCTGCAGGTCCCACCCAGCCAGCCATCTGTGAATGTGCCTCTGGCCACAGCCCCATCACCTTCATCCTGACCCAGGACTGCTACGAAGCCTGCCAGCAGCCTGATCCTCTCATTCCCCCAGGACCAGCACAGTGTGCCAGGCATCCACCAAACAGAGAACCCAGAGTCTCCGCCAGGCCAGACTCATGCTAACCATGGCCCTGCCACATTTCCCACAGGGAGGGCGAGGCACACAGTGGAGGGCTAGAGGCCCTAGATCTGGGTCAGTCCCTGGCTGGGCAAAGATTTGGCCCAGGTCTACCTCCCGAACATCCTCACACCTACCACGTCCACCCTAAGGAACCCAAATGTGCAACCTTTGTGTTGGTTCCAAGGAAACAGACCACCTAACAAACCAGAAGGGGGGACTGCAAAGGTCCCTCTAGGGCGTCCCCTGCCCGTGTGGCCACCCTTGCCCTCTGCCCTAGCTACCATGCAGCCTCAGGCAGACCCCAGGCTAAGTTCAAAGGCCAGGTGGGGGTAATTCCTGCTCAGACACACTGTGGTTACCTCAGCTCCCAAGTGGTAATTTGCAGGCCCACCTGGCCCCACCCAGGACTCAGGTATACCTTGGCAACCCTGTCCTTTGTCACCTTCCACCCAGGGTGGCGAACTCACCTGACCTCAGCCCAGGACACAGCCCCTGAAGTAAACAGCCCCCTGGTGCTCTGCCTTCTTTCCCAGGACCCCACATCCGACCCTGCCCAGCCCCCTCCTCCTCAAACCTCACAGCCCACCCTACATCTGCCTAAAGGAAGGCAAGATGCCCGCTGGCCCTAGCCCAAGAGGTTTGGTGACTGGCCCATTGAAAAGCAGGAATCTGGAGTTCCCATGTCACTCATCCCCAGTCCAAACATAGCCCCACCTACCCAGCCCCCCAGGGCAAGGGAGAGTCCTGGTGTGCAGGGGCTGAGCCAGGAGAGAGGACAGCCTAGAAAGCTACTGCCAGCAATGTTGGATGGGCACCCACCCAGGTCACAGTGGTCCAGTGGATCACCAGGCAGGTCAAGCAAGGTCAGTCCCTTGGACACATCGGGCCTCTCCGAGCGTGTCACAGGGATGGCCCAGCCTGTCCGGGTCTCCCCTCCTCCCTGACCTCTGTAATGGGGCCACAGGCCAAGCCTGATTTACTGAGCTCTTGGACACCAAGGTTAAGAATATGTCTGTTTTCCCCTATTAGTAGGAAAACCCCAAGATGCAAGCCAGCACTGTGTTTCATGGACTAAGGAAAGCACTCCCCAACCACACTGTGGTCACCACCCTCTCCCACTCCCTGGAGAGTCTGGACTACAACCCCAGGGGAGAAGGGCAGGCTGAAGAATCAAGGAAAGAGACAACAAGACCCTTCTTCCCTGACCTAACAGGCTCTGGCTGTCCCTGGGCCTCCCCAGAGGCAGTCCTGCCTCAGGGGACGAGGCCAGCCATACTCACGGCTGTCACAGTGGATCCCGGAGAAGCCCTTCTGGCATTTGCAGACATACTGGGTGAAGCTGTCTCCCCGTCCATTGTTAACCACCTGGCACTCAGCATTGTTGTGGCAGGGATTTGGGGAACAGGGACCTGAAGACAAGAAGACAGGGAAGATGGGCAGGTGATGGGGAAGGAGTTGGGGACAGGACAGGAAGCTGCGGATGACCTAAAGCAAAAGGAACCCCACCCAACTCAGCCCAGCATCTCCTCCCTCTCCCCTCCCCCAACCAGCCTGGAACCTAGGGCCATGAGGGTACGGAGGTGGGGTGGGGTGGGGTGGGTGGGGTGGGTGGTTTACCCATACCTTTCTCAGTCTCATTGCAGACAGAGCCTGTGAAACCCTGGGGACAGAGGCAGTGAAAGTCACCGTCCTGATTGCTCAAGCAGGTCCCACCATTCAGGCATATGTTGGAGTCACAGAAGTCACCTGCAATAGCAACCCAGACTCCATCATTCCATCACGTTTAGGGCCCAGCTACCCTGGAAAGTCACATGTAGTGCTAGTGGGTAAGAAGAAGGTTGGTCAACAGATGACCAAGAAGCGCCATGTACCCTGGCAGCAGCCTGCACCGGGCCACCTGAGGATGCTGGGGTGATGGGAATTTCACAGAGGACACTTGAGCTGTGTCTAAAAGACAGAACAGGGAAAGTCCTGGGCTGGGGAATGAGGAAAGAACATTCTAGAGGAAAAACAGAAGCACAGAAGGCATGCATGGTGGTGGGAACGGTAAGTTGGGCCTGCCTGGGAGGGGCATTAAGAATGACAAGTTTAGATTTTGCATCCTGGAAATCAGTTGTTTTCTTTTCTTTTCTTTTTTGGGGCAGTACTAGAGATTGAACTCAAGACCTTGAAAGCACTCTCCCGCTTGAGCCATGCCCATTTCACCGCTGGGATCAGTACCTGTTAGCCCTCCTCAGCCTTCCCAATACTGTTCAACAGATCACACGCACACACCACTGTGGTTCCATCCTGGGAGGTCAAAGGTTGAAAAGTCCACATGCAGAGAGATGTGACAGACAACCTTGGTGTGAGATGTGATGGCTGCAGACAGAGTCCTCTGGGTGAATGGGGAAAGGAAGCCAGGGCAGAAGGACAGAAGGTGGAAGATTTGAGAAACAGAGCCCAACAACCGCTGAGGAGGTGGGAGGAGTGCTGCAGGGGCCACCAAGGCTTCCAGATAGGCCCTGGGTGGCAGATATGCACTGTCAGCAGGGATGGAGAACAGGCTGAATGCAAGGATGGCAAGTGGCAATGCCCCATCCCTAGGCCCACCAAGGAGTACCTTGGAAGCTGGTTCCTGGCCCAGCTTACTGGGGTCAACCAGTGGACCGCAGCTCCTGGATTCTCTGGCTGACCTTGGCATCCCAGAAGGGCTGCTCCAGACCCTACTCTAAACCTGGCATTGGGCTAAAACATGAGTCTTCTTTCCTCCCAGTCACTATCCCAGGTAGGAGAGAGCTCTTGGAAGTCCCAAAGCCCAGGGGAGCTCAGGTTCACTCAGCTCCTAGGCAGGCAGCACCATTAATGAGCTAGATTGTCAGCCCTCGGAGTTCCACCTCAACAAGGGCCTGGGAGCTTAGGCCACTCCCAAAGAGCTATTAGTCATTGCCTTTAAATAGTAGGTTAATCCCTTGCTCTGACCTGGCAGGCCACAGACTGCCTCCGACACAGGCTCAGTAATAGCCTGGCCTGGGCTCCAGGTCCCAACATGGGCTCCTCTCACTCCTTCCCAACCTCACCCTCCCCAGGACAAACAAACAATCCAGCTGGAAAAAGGAAAAGTGCCCTCAATCCTGCTGGGCCACCTGTGTGAGTCCCCCTTCTGGGAAAAGCCAGATCGTCCCCTACAAAATCAGCCTTGGGATTTCAGAGTCCTGCTGTTTGGAAGATTTCCACAGGACATTTGACCAGGGCACAGAGCGGGAGAGAGGGAAGGGACTGTGAAGGCCCCAACATCTTTATGGGTGGCTGGGAGACCAAGAACTTGGAGGAGGTGCGTGACAGCTTCTGGAGGCTTAGATTCAGCACAGGATGGCACAGCCAGGGCCCAGCTCTCACCTCCCTTGCCCCTGTCAGTCCCACCTTCAGGAGAAAACCATGGAGGGGCTGAAGACCACTTACACGCGTCTCCATTGAGCACCCCTTTCTCAGGGGCCTCACAGCGAGGGGGATGGGGCACCCCCAAGAGCGGCCTGCAGGAGGCCCAGATGTCCACCGAGGGCCTCCGAGCGAGGGAGGAGGATCGGGGAAGATAGAGCAGCCAGCCAAGGCCATGGGCGGGCGGGAGTCGGAGATGCCGGGCCAGGAGGCAGCCAGCCCATCTCCAGGTCCCTCCAGACTCCTTCTAGAGCACGGTGCACCCCAGCTTACCTAACCACATAGCACAGGTGGGGCGCAAAAGCCCAATGCCCTGTGCAGCCGGGCGGGTTGGGAGGGAGTTGGGGGGAAAGTTGGCTGGAGAAGCCGCATCCATAGGGGAGAGGCCCAGGTTGGGACTGGCCTCTCCCATGTGGAAGGACTCGAGAGTCAGGCACAGTTCATTTCACAGACGGGAAAAGAGAGGTCCGACGCAGCGGATTCCTTTGTTATGTGTAAGCCACATCTCTGGGGCATTCGGCAGGGCTGTCACCCGGTGTCCCGTGTGCCCGCCCGTCCAATGCGCAAGCCTCCACCCCAGTTCCCAAGCCCCAGCGCAGAGCCCGCAGCCGAAGCCGAGATCGCCCCGGTTCCCCCGCCAGCGCGCAGCCCGGGAAGCCGCCGGTCCCCCCCGCGCGCCGCGCGCCCGGCCCAAGTTTGTCAACAGCAGAGGCGAAGGGAGGGACCGGGAGGAGGGGCGCCAGCCCGGAGAACCTCGGACCGCCGGGAGGAGAGGCGAGCCCCAGGGCGGCGCGATGCACTCACCCGAGGCGGCCAGGACGCCGCAGGCGCAGAGCAGCGCGCCGCACAGCGCGGCCAGCACGCGGGCTTGCTGCATGCTGCGGGCTTCTGCTTGCAGCGGCGGACGAGCGACCAGCGGAACGCGCCGTGTGCGGCGCCCGGAATAAATCAGGCGGGCAGGCCCCGCCCACCGGGCCCGCCCACCGGGCACGTGCTCCTCCCCAGGCCCGCCGAGGGGGGACTGGGCGGGGCTTCGCCGCTGGGGAGAGGAGAGGAAGGGAAGGGATGGAGGAGTCTCCCGCCCCCAACCGTCCCCGCCACGCGCCTCCAAAAACTGAGCTTAGAGGGACTCCGCCCCTCAGCATCCGATCCCCAGCACCGCAAAAATAAGTGAATTTTTAAAAAAATAAGGAAAGGTAGGGCAGGTAGAGTGGCTGATGTGGTAGGTAGAGCGCCTGCATAGCAAGTTCAAACCCCAGTACCACCAAAAAATAACTAAGGGGAGGGGGGAAGGAAGGAGAATGATGGAGGGGGTGAATTCAAGTATGATGTATGTGATACATTGTAAGAACCTTTGTAAATGCCACCATATACCCCCCAGCCCGCACAGCAATAAAAATATATAAATACATTAATTAATTAAGGACTGGAGGCAATGGCTCAAGTGGTAGAGTGCCTGCTTTGCAACACAAAGCTCTGAGTTCAAAACCTTAGTCTGACCAAATAAAAAAACATTTCAGCCACAAAACCCTGAGTTCAAACTCCAGCCCCACAAAAAATAATAATGAAAGATGTTTAGACTTAAGACTCTTAAACTTTATTCGTCCTCAGAGAAATTCGAGTTACGACTATAATGAGTACCACATCTCACTTACCAGACTGGCAGGCAGCGGGCTGTTAACAGCATGCATTGCCCGAGAACACTATAAATTGGCTCAATTCTCTATTTGGTAATATCTATCAAAATGACAGATGCCAGCCGGGCGCTAGTGGCTCATGCCTGTAATCTGAGGTACTCAAGAGGCAGAGATCAGGAGGATCCAAGTTTGAAGCCAACCCCAGGGCAAATAGTTCGAGAGACCCTATCTCAAAAATACTCAACACAAAAAAGGGCTGGCAGAGCGGCTCAAGAGGTAGCATGCTTTGGCTTAACAAGCACAAAGTTCAAACCCCAGTACTACCAAAAAAAAAAAAAAGATGCCACGCATGAGACCTAGTAGTGCTGGTGGTAGACACGCACTCAGCAGCCTCACATGGGCAAAGTGGCATCCATACTAAGATATTGCATAGCGGCTTCCTGTGAAATAGTAAAAAGACCTAAAAAGGAATCGGCTAACTTGCTCTGTAAAGATTCCAAATAGACCTGGTGGATTCCTGGCCCCAAGGTCTCCACGGTAACCGTTCACCCCTGCCCTGGTCCAAGGAAAGCAGCCATAGACACAGCAAGGAAATGAGCAGTGGTGGTTGCCCTGGAGATGAACCCAGAGCCTGAAGGAGACCAGCTTGTCATCACTGAACTTTTACTAACTTTTTTCTTTTATGTGCGGTATGACCTGTTTACAGATAAATGCTTTTAATAGCAGTGTTCCAGTCAGATCAGCAAAATGAAAAACAAAGAGCAGTCACATGCTCCCTACTAGCTGTGTTGAGACCTAAGTTGGGATGAGTCCAGGGGCAAGAGGCCCGTCTTAAAATACCTGTTGTGAGAGGCCAGCATGCTGGTACAAACCTGTAATCCCAGCTTTTGGGAAGCTGAGACAGGAGGATCTCAAATTCAAGGACAAACTAGCTACATAGTGAGACCTTGTCTCAAACAAACAAACAAACAAACAAACACGGCCAGGTGTAGTGGCACACACAGGTGATCCCAGCTACTTGGAAGGTAAGGAAGGGGGATCATGGTTCAAGCCTAACCCGGGCAAAATTAGCAAGACCGTAACCCAAAAACCAAGCTGGCTGGTCACCATTGACTCAGGCCTATAATCCTTGCTACTTGAGATCAGGTGGAGTACAGTTTGAAGCCTGCCCAGGCAAATAGTTCAGAAGACCCTATCTTGAAAATCCCCAACACAAAATACCCTGAGTTCAAACCCTAGTACCACCACCAAAAAAAAAAACAAAAAAACCCATATACAAAACTGTTTCAGACCCTGACCTAGACAAGGAAATCAAGGTAAAACATAACTTAAAAGCCAAGTTAACTTTGTTTATTTTTACAGTACTGGGGTTTGAACTCAGGACCTTTAGGCAGGCACTCTACCACTTGAGCCACATGGCCAGCGCTTCTTACTTTACTTATTTTTCTCTCATTCTTGGATCTTGATCCTCCTACCTATGTCTCCAGATTAGCTGGGATCATGTCACCACACCTGGCTTTTTTAATGTTATTTTATTTGTGTGTGTGTGTGTGTGGTCCTGGGGCTTGAATTCAGGGCCTACACGTTGAGCCACTCCACCACCCCTCTTTTTTGTGATGGGTTTTTCGAGATAGTGTCTCTCAGAACAATTTGCCTGCACTGACTTTGAACCGTGATCCTCCTGATCTCTGCCTCCTGAGTAGCTGGGATTACAGGTGTGAGCCACCATGCCCCACCACTTACCATCTTCTTTACTTTAAAAAAAAATGTTAACATCCATTGATATGTACCAAACCAGTAGGCTAAATTTTCTTCTTTAAGAAGTTTTCAACCAAATTGGAGTTAACTCAATGTCCTTAAAGTGCAAAAAAAAGAAGAAAAAAGGCATGCAGAATTCGTGTTTATTCTGCGACATAGAAGAGAATCATCCTCCTACAGCAGTGGCCCAGAAAGCACCACATGAAGACCTGCTTACAGACAAAGTGAGCCGTTAAGGTGACCGAAAAGCAAGTTGCCTCCACTTTCACCCTACAAAGTGGGGTCCCTGCCAAGTGTGGCTTTTAACTGTGCCCGGATCTCAAATGGGTCTCAGGTCAGCTCCACAGAGAGGAAACACTTCAGGAGCACTGCCAAGCAAGCCAAAGTGACCCAAAGCACTAAGTGGGCACCTCTGCTCCATGATTGCTCAGCTGCTCACCTCTGCTCCATGACTGGTCAACTGCAGTAAAGAACCACTCAGAAAGCCTAGGTTTTGGAACAACACAAACATTATTTACCTAGAAAGTGACAATGGCAGATCATGCAGACATAGGCACTGAGGTCCCCCAAAGATCACTCTAAGATTATTTAGTGTAACCTTAAAGCAATTCAAAATGGTTTCTTCTGTACCAAGGACAAGCTGCACACAGAAGTTGTTCAAATATCTATTGGAAGGGTGTGATGACACAATGTCACACACCTGTGACCAGCACTAGGGGGTGCTGAGGCAGGAGGATTGCAGTTAGAGGCCATCTTGGGCTACAGAATAAAATCCTGTCTCAAAAACAAAGAAACAAGCCGGTGCTGCTGCTCAACCTGTAATCCTAGCTACTCAGGAGGCAGAGAGCAGGAGGATCGCTGATCGAAGCTAGCCTGGGCAAATAGTTCTGAGAGACCCCATCTCAAAAAAAAAACCCTTCACAAAAAAGGGCTGGTGGAGTGGCTCAATGTGCAGGCCCCAAGTTCAAACCCCAGTACTGCAAAATAAATAAAGTATTAGAATTTGTGGTTAGCATGCATCAGGTCCTGGGTTCAATCTCCAGCACCAAAAGTAAATAAATAAGTAAATAATGTCTCCAGCTCCGGTCTTAGTTTTAGAGGTTTTTTTTTTTTTAAAAATGTACCATTTCTCAGCTGGGCCTGGTGGCACATGCCTGTAATCCTAGCACTCAGGAGGTTGAGGCTAACCTGGGCTGCATAACAAGACCCTTCTCACAAAAACAAACAGAAAAAAATCCATACCATCCCTTTGTCAGAACCAAGATAAAGGGCAAAGGGGCACAGGAAACCCTCTCTCTGGAGTCCCTGGAATAGAAAGGTCTAAAAGCCAATGAGTGTGAGTGCATTCGAGTCACAGGGTTTGAGATTATGAGTCTCTGGTGGCCTTTTCTTTCCTCCTACCACTGGGACCCCGAGCCGAGGTGGTGTGAAGGTAGCTAGGTCCTCAGCCATTTGGGTGGTAGGGCCTGAACAGTGCCACTGAGGAAGGTTCTGGGCTCCTCTGCTGGCCTAGATGACAAAGCCCCAGAATCAGACCTCTGGAGCAGTTTTGGGGATCTGAGGCGTTTCTGTGTGTATCCCCACTGCCAGAATCCCTGGTCAGGATTTGGGCCAGGTAAGGCTGTGGTCGTCTTCTCTTTTTGGCCTCTCGTTCTGCAGCTTGCATTTGTGGAGAGCTTCTGCCACCTGAGGGAACGTGCTCTGTTGGGTGATAACACTGTTATGGGATGTGGGGGGCGTCCCCACCACGTCTCAGGAAAGTCTGAACACTTCCTGGATCTATTTGATGATCTGAGAATTCATGATGACATAAGTGGCTTCGGCCTTGTCCGCACCGTCAATGGTCATTGACAAGAAAGGACACACTGGCCTGTCCTTCCTCCCTCCGTCTTGACCCTAGTGCTGTGGCATCACTGACTCCCAGGGGCTTTTGCCTGTATCTGATGGAGGAAGTCATGGGCACAGGGTCCCGGAGACTCAAGGGCAGGCCTTCCTGGTTGGCCCTTGGAAGACAGTGATTCAGATCCTTTTTCTGTGTAGAATTGGGAGCAGAGTCCCCGACACACAGTTAAGTGATATGACAACCAAGCTGGCAGACAGGTGCTGGTGAGCAGTGCTGCACCATTGCTGCAAGTAAGCAAACCTTCCTTGGCATGTCCTCTTGTCCTCCCACTGCTGGGAAGCTGCCTGCAGCCCAAGACTTGTACCCTAAAAATGTCCTCCAGAGAAACTGAAGACCTAAGTACTGGAAAGGGCTCCCCTCTCCATGGGTTGAAAGACTTGTACTGTGAAGGTGACAATACTCCCCAAACCAATGTGCAGATCAATAACAAATGTATCAAAATTCCAGTTCCCTTATGTGCAGAAATTAATAAACCAGTCCTAAAATTCATATGGAAAGGCAAATAGCTCAGAAGAGCCAAAATAATCATGAAAAAGAAAAACCCCAAAATAACACAGTTGGGAGACAAACACCTCTCTATTTCAAAACATTCTACAAAGTAATCAAGACTGTTTGGTACTGACATTAAGACATACAAGCTTAGCCAGGCGCCAGTGGCTCACACCTGTAATCCTAGCTGTTCGGGAGGCAGAGATCAGGAGACCCTATCTCAAAAAATACCTAACACAAAGAAGTGCTAGTGGAGTGGCTCAAGTGGTCTCGTTCAGAGGTGACAAGTTCAAGGTCAGCCTGGGTTATGTAGCAAGACCCTGACTCAAATAAACAAAAAAAAAAATGGGGGTGTGAAGCAAGTGGTAGAGCATCTGTTTTGGCAAGCCTGAGGCCCTGAACTCCATCCCCAGTATCAAAAGAAAGAAAAGAAAAAGAAGAAAGGAAAGGAGGGAGGGGGGGAGGAGAGGA